ACGGACACGTTGAGATAATTTGTGATCGAATTGATCTTACACGTAACGTAATAATATTGATGCACTAGGCACTAGATATATAGCACTTTAAACGTCATTCAAAGTTTAAAGACGATCATGTTGGCATTATAATTCGTATCATTTAGCATATCCAAGATTAAAAATATCTCTTTACATGAAAATCTTAGGTCTCAATTTCCGGCCTTTTCAAAATAACCACAAATTGCGCATCATAGCGTTACATTAAGTCATACCTATAGATATGTATAAAAATAATAAAAATTCAAATCTTCCATTCATAAATACCCACAAAATCAGTGTCGCTGTCATTATCATTATGCATTACTTATCATAAATAATGACAAAAATAAAAAATAAAACAGTCTATAACAAAGTCCATGCCGATAGCCTAAAAATAGTGTGACTATATGCTGCCTAAATTGCTGAATTAATTTGCAATCATTTCGTTCTACATGACTTATTAATAAAGGCAACACGCTGATAATTTTATCAGTAGAGTAATCAGTAAATTCGTACCCACTTGAGCGTCGATTACCTATATTATACCCGTAGGTACGCAGTTATGTCACACAAAATGAACGATAAGAATGTTTTTCTGATATCCTTTTGTTCTGAAATGTTTCTTTTTACATACAATTTTATAAAGGTAAGCAAAACGCCTTAGGCAAGCGGTGGGTTAACTCGACTAAACCCTTCAGTATTATGAACACACAAAAGATAAAATGGCCCCGAGTTTCCAGTGGCGCTGCGACCCCCAATAGAAATTGCTCAAGACCGAAAGAGATGGCAGAAACTGAAGGTAAGGGTAGAAAAATGCTAAAGAAGAAGAAGGAAAAGTGCGAATATACAATTAAACACGCACTTTTTAACAGTAACAAGTACCTAGAAAAATAGCCCCAGAATAAGTGTTCTTAGACAATAATAATTTAAATTTGACATATTTATGTTGTTTTTTAAGTAATTCCCATTTTTTTTATTCTAAGAACACTTATTTTGGGGACAATATAATAGGTATTTGTACACAAATAAGTCGAGCCCTATGTCCCTGCATGTTGCCTATAGACTCTCTCTTCAATACAGCCCATCATTGGTCAGATAATCAAAATAGCCCGCTTGTGTCGTTAGTAACATCATAAAGTGAAGTCACCTGTTACTGTCATCATTATACTCGTATGTCATTTTATATCTTAGGTTTATTGCAAGCACATAAAAACAGTCCATGTTCTGCAACGTGATTTTTTAAACTATGAACCGTATTCTTACTTTCAAATTGTAATAAATATAATCTTCCGATAAAACTTCACCGAATATTAGACTGACAGTTCCTAAATCGACTGAAGCGCCATCTAGTCTTTGCAAAAATGGTAAGCTCATTGCATTTGAAACTCCTAACATACTCATCAGCATCTACTGATTTACCGGTGACCGTGACAGTGAAAAGACCAAATTCACAAACGTCCAGCAGGTTGTGATCTCAAAACTGGCCATTTTTTATAGAAATCCAACTTTATTCGTTTTGTAATAAAGTCCATGATCTCTTTAATCGATTAAGGGTTGCTTGACGTGCAATCCTCCTTAATTTTCATGCTAATCCTGTCTTCAAGTGATGTGTGTCGCAAACGTCTGCTGCATCGCATTCAGTATGTGTTTTGTCCTTATAACAAAAGACGAGCGGTGATTTATGGTCAGGGATGATTGAGTCATTGTCATTCAAGCTGTGATTAATTTGTACCATGATACAGGTACTTCAATGTAAGTACTAAATGTTACTTAAAACAACTAAGTCCAAAAACATAGAAACAAAATATTTTGAAGTTAACCTTTTTCGTCAAAAATCCAACTGCATTTTTGTATAAGTTTAGCGAAAACTTAAACTTAGTGAGGTAGTAACGGCATTACTTTAAGTACAGCCATTGTAAATCCGAAGAAAAATAGGATTAATATAAAAGTGTGCGAAAAAATTAATAACAAGTTTAAACTAATACCACACCCAATTACGATCAACAGCAAGCCTACCTATTAGTATTAATACTAATAATAAATTTATTATTAACTATTATTTCCTTGCAAGCAGAAATAATAGTGAGTAACCTAGTACCTACTTGACACTATGACAAATGATTAGCGTAGACAACACGTGAATAGAAACGTGGTCACTATTGCATGCGCGTGCGCAGTGTATCGGTGCACCGTGCACCCACTTCCGCACTAACAAAGCATTCAATTATTATAGTTTATTATGCATTTCTGTTTCTATCTATTCTGTAACATGAAACCATCATACATCCACTTAGTCAACAATAAAAAGTAATTTATACTTATTTAGTAGACTTTGTTCAATACAGTTGTTGTGTAGAAAGAAAACGTGAATAAGTACCTACTATGACAATTTTATCAAACAAATCATTGTTGTCCATCATTATCATATAGGCCATGATCTACTGCTGAATAATCTGACTATATGCCTAGCCCAATAAAGTCACTCCCTCCCGCCTCACACAGGCGGGAGCAGTTATTCGATGATATTCCCCCTTAAAAAGAAAACCCCAATAAATTCCAGATCGGCCGGTTGGAAGGAACTGAAGGAAGGAACAGGATGTTCAGAATTTAAGATTGAAAGTAGTAAACTAAAAACTTATACATTTTTAAACAATTAATAAAACCCTTGTCCACACCAGACACAATGTCTTTCATCTGGTCCGTACGCACACTCGTTATCATTATTGACCTTAAAACATATATTTCTTGCTACATATACCTACATAGGCATTCAACTGATAACTAGGACTTATACGACTATAATACAAAGCTAAGCGTGCCTATCTAAATGTTACGAGCGCGTCATAAAACATCTCCAAAGTTATACTGCCATCATAAAAGGTCCAGGTTTTTGATCCCGTCTCGACAAATGACCTTCATAACCAGTTTTGGATTCCTTTCACTGGGAAGTTTCCTTAGCATCGTACGAGGAAAAAAGTTCCACTAATAACGGGATTGTAATACAAAAAACTGTCAAGTAACATCGATGGAAAAATCGGAGTAATTTTTGTACTTGATTATATGATATGTAAAAAAGTGGACTACTTTTTGTATGCAGGTAAAGTTTCACCAATTCCAATAAATAGGTAGGTACCTACTTATGTAAAGTAAGTTAAGTAGGTACATTACATTTCCTATCGAATCAATAATGAAAATTAAATCACGTTTTCAAAACATCATCGTGTTTTTTTGTTTTGATAAAATTCTATATCTTTATTACACATTATTGGCGAACTTCTAAACGGCTGTTTCACAAAAAAATCGTTTTTTTTATTTAATCCTTTGAAAATAAAAGAGGCGTGTTGTTAAGTCAAATCATGATAAATCTCTAAAAAGCGATATAATTAATCCAATATCAAACATTCAATTTCGATAAATTAATTTCTCAAGGACCTTTTTCACACCAATTACTTCTCTTCTCAATATTTCATCAATCACCCTGTTTTCATCACACTTTTCATAATGGCAGTCGTCAAAATAATAGACAAGCATTGATTGCCCATAATTGATCGTGCCAAATGTTGAACAACAGAGAATAATATTTTGGCGCCAAACACGACGGGGTATAAATTATCTGTGGCTATGGCTATAGACAGGAGGACACGTTTTTATAGGTATAAATTGTAAATAGCTTCTTAATTATGTGTTTAATCACTGAGGCAAATTATAAATTATTTGGGTAACGTTATTTGGTCTGAGACGATGTACCTTTTTTTTTCTTTTATGGTATAAGCCAGTCAATGAGCAGACGGATCACCTGATGGTTAGCAATCAACGTCACCCATGGACACCTGGAACACCAGAGGCGTTGCAAGTGCGTTACCCTTTTTGGGATTAGTAATTTGAGGATTGTTGGAAATTCAGGGATTAGAGAGGGGTGAGGGGGGGATTTGGCCGACTACCTCTAAGAAAATACCTATTTAAGAAGAAGGGACTACTTGAACGGTCATCCTAAACATACTATCAACAAAAAGCAGCTAAAAGCATACAGGACATCTTTGTTCATTAACATCAAATCAGCCGCAAGAAGTCTGAATGACTTCCAGAATCGCTGTTCATTGTTTTAGAACAAATTGTACTGACACACTAACAAGCTCACTGTTGATTGAGTGAGAAAAACCGCGACAGTCGAGCAAAGTCTCGGATTTGATAATGCTGCTTCTAATTTCATTACCTACCCAATATAAACTAAGGTGTTCCATATGCCACCTTTTTTTACTCATAACATCTCTTAAGATCGTTTTTTGTTTATGTGTTATGTAATTCGTAAAGAGAAAGAATGTTAATCACTGAGTGGAATAAAATGAGATAATCGATTCGTTACAGTGATTATACACGCAATTAACATGGCTATTACAATTATTCGTTGTTTATAAATATTTCTTCCAATTTGATACTACTCTAAATTAAATGTCTACAAAACAATAGACGTGTTTAAACGAAACTAGGTACCTGTATTTATAAATACGAATATTCGCCAAATCGATATGCTTGGGGAACTTAATCTAATCTTATGAGCCGGTTTATCTTAAAAGATTCATATTAAAATGGTGATATAATGGTTTTAACCTTGATCGCACTACACTAGTTCACGAGGTGCCGGCTAATACAAACAGAACATATGTTTTTTCTATTATTAGGCCTTGTATAGTAACGAACATGGCATATTGGCATCGTTTCCACGTCTCGAAATAACTAATGCTAATTTATTTGAATATTCTATTCAATGTGATTTGTTTACAATGCATTAAAATTATGCGACATTCAGATTCTCAAATTTTATTTGCGCACCATTTTAGTTTATTGAGTCGTTGAATTATTCAATGGCAATATTTTGGCTTTGGAACCAGATTTAAAAAGATGTTTGTATTAAGAAAACGTCTTTATCGTCGATTTTGAATATAACGTTCCAATTTCAAATGATATGAAAGAGCTCCTACCTTTTCTCCTCCCAAAGGGTCCACAGAAAGAGTTTCCTTTCCCGATGATGTTCTCATCGATACATTTTATCAGTTTCGCGGCATCCTCAGACTGATTTTCGCGGGAGACCTCCCCCCATCTTGAAGGCAGATCCTCTTGCATGGATTCAGATTTTCCTTTAGTGCCTCTAGATTTCTTCAAAACACTTGTCATAATTACAACACATAACACAGTAAAAAATGTAATTCAAAAGCACAGCACTTTTATTTATTTTTTATTTGTAACACTAAAAATATACGTTTGTAAATACGTAATAGTACGCACATGTAATACGGCGTTTTGACCGCGAACGCGTGAACAACCTCGTCGGATGACGGTGTGGCGCGCACTGTGGGTGAATTCTAATCTACGCTACTCGGCGGCGAGTGGCCTGACAATTGCGACGCACACCTCATGTTCTCCGCAGTCCGTGTTGCTAGCCTAAAAAATGTATTTTCTACTACGATACGTAATTGAAAATAGTAATTTTTGTATTAAAAAAGGAAATAAGTATTGCTATTGGCATTTAGATAACTGTTTCTTATTTTCAGTAAAAGAATCGATATGATGGAGTAGTTGAGTCACAGCGTGACGTCCTCAAGATTTCCTTTAGCAAAATAATAAACGTGATTCGACATTTATTTACGTGTAGGCTTACATGTAAATATATGTACCTTCTTTACTGCCATGTAATAAATGAAGTAGGCTTCTTCTCCTAGGTATGTGTTTACAGTCGAATCTTCGAAGATGTAACATTTACTTTCTTAATCACTTAGATAAAGGCCTGAAGCATTTAGTTTTTAAGTTGTCTAATACATTTCATACAATCTTCCTAGAATCTATGACTAATAATATTAATTTTTAAAGTAAAATTATAAAAATAATCATTATATTCTGCACCGATATAACATGAAAAATAAGTGTAATGATATGTATCATTACACTTATTTTTCATGTTGCGTACAGTTACTTAACATGTGTCTACACTTTCAAGGAAAAATGCACACAAATTTTAATACACACGTTTATAAGACGGGAAAATCGTCCAATGACTTCTGCCACCTTGGGTGAAGCGAGAAGGAGTGTCAGACTCTTTCTGACTAGAAACCACCCCATTCCTACTCTTTTCTAAATCATGGATGAATATTATAAATGACGACAGATAAGTCAAATACACTTTACATTAGGAAAATAAAAAGTTCTACGAATCAATGCTACGAATACTACGAGCTACGACTCGGTAGCTACGAATAAACTGTAGGTACCTAGTTAACGTAGGTATTGGTTAACCAAACAACTGGCTAAACCACAGGTAAAAGATAACACACAACCTCTTCCAAAAATCAATGCCGTATCCAACCAGAAAAAACAATCAGTTACCATAGTAACGCACTTTGTTAATTCGCGAACGCGGAATTTTGTACCGAATTATTTTCTGAGCAAGTTTTTCAATAATTTAGACGTAAAAATGATGAAATTACAGATAGCCAACGACCAGGACCGAAAAGAGGCTCAAAATAGAGAGAGAAGGAGACAATGCGAGCTCGAGAGAAGGTCCAGGATCTTCAATGCTAGAAACAGGAAGATTGGGGTAAGAGAATATGTACCATTTGTCTATGTAATAATAATTGATCATCACTTCTGTTGGTGTGTGGGTCAGGTCAGGTTAAGCCTTGTTTGCGCTGTCATGACCCAGATGAAACTGTAGCCTCAAGGTATTCTGCAACAACAAACTTACCTATAGCATAACAGACTGTCGGTTCTTGCACAATTTGTTATTATGCCAAAATGCTACAACCTTATAAAAACAAACATGCATATGCATCCTCAAAATTATTTTCTTTACCCTTAATATCGCGAGCTACATAGTATGCTCAGAGCCTGATTGCAGGTGGATGTGAGGTTCCTGGAGCGCCAGATAGCGGAGAAGAAGGCGGAACGAGATGACCAAGTACGAAAGGACCTGGCCTTTGCGCAACAGATGATCAAGGACAGCAACCTGGCTGTTATACTTGAAGCAAGGGAGAAAGAAGTAAGTACTTAAGAGAAAATGTAAGAAACGTGGTAGTCTACATCTAGAACAGATTTTTTTATGAAATTAGACGAAAGAGTCAAAAGCGCAATACTTCAACAATAGGGATGATGACAGAGTATGAAAATTAAAAATCTAATTAGTCCGTAAGTTAGGTAATGAATAAATATTAGACACGTATTTTTTATTTTGTCGTATAATAAAACTTCATTTCTACGTATAAAATGTACATAGGAGTGACGTCACGCGACATTTCAAATCAATATATAGTCGAAAGTATTCGTTTCTGTAAAAAAATAAAAATACGTGTGTACTGTTTTAAAATAATCTACTAATATATTAAAATAAAAATTAGTCATCTACCCTATTTGCAGAAAATCACCAAGGGTATCTAGTGCGTTAGATGAACTTTTTGTTTCTTTTACCCGAAAACCGTCTTGTTTGTGATGTTAATTTACAAAATACAACTAGAAACTACTTTTTTTAATTTTACCTAGGAACGTCGTCGTATTGGCGTTGAAATAGACTCGTACCGCCAAAAATATCAGCGTTTTGAAGACAGGCGGGAGTACGATCTCAACGACCCTGAAGTTCTGAAGAAGCAGCTACCACCGAGGCCTGATGATGGCCAGCCAGTGGGCTTGTCCAGTGCACAGAAGTATGTTTACTCCATTCATTACACTAGTCATTTCTTGAACTTCTAGGATTATTTTTAGGACTTTCTTTAAAAATCGGTTTTCTAAACAAGCAAAATAAATAATAGCATAGGTTTACATGAATTACCCCCTATTACATGGGACTCATTCATAACATAAATAGTGAAAAGTGGGTGTTACTTCTGTGTGCACCTCTGCCTACCCCTTCGGGGATAAAGGCGTGATGTTATGTTATATTTATATGAATGTGAGTTTGTCCATTCTTATAACAGATTCGAAGGGGAAGACTTGGAATTTGAGGAGCGTAAAAAGATCATGGCAGCACAGAAGAACTCCTGGCTTGAACAACAGGTGCAAGAGAGGAAAGCAGCCGAAGAGGAAAGAAAGAAAGCTGAAGCCGCTTATATGGTATGTAGCTAGAACGTCTTCTAGAAGAATGTCAGAATGCAAATGTTTGAATGTCAACAATTCTTCATTCTAATTAGCTATTGGAAAGTTGTTACTCGCCATCATAATCAATAGCCTATAGAATAGGCTCGATGTAGGCAGGACTCAACGTTGTCTTGATTGTTGGATTGTGGGCCTAGTATATTGCTTTTAATATCACTAGACACTGCTAACGAGTACATCGTAAGTACCCAATTGTCATAAACCCTTAAAAACAACATAACAATTTAGTGGTTTAACAAATTAACGTTTATTAACTGGATGTGAGCATTGTGGTTGTGGTCACACAGTATTATCAGTTACCACACAGGTATTACGGACTACGGTGTATTGTAGATAGGTATGTATACTTTGATCATGTTACATTTTAAACAGGTCATTTTTATGTTGGCTTATTAATTGTATCCTACTGCCTATAAACATTAAGAATGCTTTAGTTTGTGAGGATGGACAGACAGAAATTTGTTACTCTTTCACGCAGAAACTACTGATCCATATAAGATGAATTTTGGTACTGTACCGAATTACCGAGGGAGAGTTATAGATAGATTGATATATAGAATAAACGGTAGATTTTTTATACCACAAAAATGTGCAGTACCCGGGAAATACAGCGAGTAAACACACAGTTATTATTGTACTAAGTTCTACAGTTCTTTTTTTATTGTAGATGGCCATTAAAGCTCGTGACAACCGCGCCGGTGAGCTGGATAAGTTGGAACGAGAGTGCCGCTATAGACTTGGGCAAGCCAACCTTAAATACAACGAGGCTTTGGTAAGTACATAAACAAACACATTTAGGAACTTCTAAACAGGATTTTTACATGTAGAAGACGAAATTACATTCCTTAGAAACCTACTTAATCTGTCAAACACCAAGCGGTCACCGGTGACCGCGACCTATTGTTCTTTAAACTGTCAAACACCAAGCGGTCACCGGTGACCGCGACCCATTGTTCTTTAATTGTGTCTATAAAACCGGTACTCGACGAGTTAATTGTGTCTATAAAACCGACCTACTTAATCTGTCAAACACCAAGCGGTCACCGGTGACCGCGACCTATTGTTCTTTAATTGTGTCTATAAAACCGGTAGTCGACGAGCTAAGCTATCGAAATGTGTGCTATATCCCCGAAGGGGTAGGCAGAGGTGCTCATTACGGCTCTTAACTCGTCGAGTACCGTCATTATAGACACAATTATAGAACAATGGGTTGCCGTCACCGGTGACCGCTTGGTGTTTGACAGTACCACTGCACACAATGTAACACTCACTTTTCACTATTAATGTTATGAGTCCGTCGGAGGTAATAGGGTCCGTCGGAGGTGAGACTATTGTGATATACCGGGCAAAATTCAAGACTGCTACTATTGGAGATTTTTTTAAAAACCCAGTAATACTTTGCCCTACCCGGGAATCGAACCCGAGACCCCTTGCCAGTCGCACTTGCGACCACTCGGCCAACGAGGCAATGAAAAACCAAACAAATAAATTCCTACCTGTTTCCCTATAATATTGAACTACAGAAACTAAGTATTAAACTGTCAAACACCGCGAGGACACCGGTGACCGCAACCTATTGTTCTTTAATTGTGTCTATAATGACGGTACTCAAAGTGTTAAAACAATTTTAATATACCAGGCTGCAGAGAAGAAGCAACTGGAACAGGTCCTCAAGGAGCAGGAGGAAGCCGACAATACAGCGGAGATGTACAACAATCTCACTTCGGATATGCTCACTGAGAACCCTGACGTAGCCAAGAGCGCCCTCGGGAAGAACAGGTTTGTTGAACATTGAATGAGGATAGCCATGTGGAGACGGCAGCAGTATAATAACGGATTATTGAACTGCTACAGAGCAGCAGCGTTCTCTCAAAAACGTTAACATTTTTTTTTATTTTGTGATCTTTAATCTGCCAAGCGCGATTATGGTATACCGCCTTTGTATAGAAGACCCATAACCCAGTAGTAGACCATTGAATAAAGTTTTTTTATGAGATAAGCCGGTAAACGAGCAGACGGATCACCTGATGGTAAGCAATCGGCATCGCCCATGGACATCTGAAACACCAGAGGCGTTACAAGTGCGTTACCGGCTTTTTGGGATTAGGAATTTGAGGATTGTTGGGGATTCAGGGATTGGGGAAAGTTTTTCAAAGATGTAATTTTTTTGAAATGTGTCTTTTATTTTTCAGGGCTATCGGTTACATGTACAAAGGTATGAACCAAGAAGAGTTGAAGAAGTTCTACGCTGCACAGAAGGAACAAATGGCTGCATCCAAGGTACTTTTAATGGACAATTAAAATACCAAACAGAATCGAGGATTCTTTTTCTGGATAACTTATTTTCATATCTTTTTCTACAGGCTAAGCGCGATGCTTTAGACAAGATGGAAGCTGAATGGCAAGCCTTATCCAAGTCTATACAACGCGAAGTGGCACGACAGGACATTGCCGACAAGAGAAAGAGACGGTAAATATGTTTAAACAGTTCTTGTTTTTTTTTGAAGCAATAATGAGCATTCTTATATGACAAGTCGCATAGATGTGATGGAAGGTAAGAAAGTATGTAAGGATCGTAGTAGGTAACTGGAGGGTTCTGCCTACTTTACGAGACAAAAAAGAGAGAACTGACCTTTTTGATGGTTTAGCCTTGTAGCCAAAATTGTTCACCGACAGTAAATATTCAATGACGTATAATAAATGTCTCTATTTTGAGTTATTGAATATTCGCACTGCATTTGCGAACCGAAATGAAAATTGAAAACATTAACGAACTTCATTTACAGAGAGATAGCTCGTCAGCTGATGGAAGAGAACCAACTCATGGCCCTACAGCAGAAAGAGAAAGAGAAGTACTTCAGGGAAGTGGTGTACAACAACACACCGACCGACGAATATTACGCGCAGTTCAACACAACCACCAGATAAAATGGTCCCTCATATGGAGTACACCGTACTGTGTTCAAGTTTCTAGTCGATTGGTTTGGCTAAATTATTACGTTTTTGGATGCATTTTAATATGGATATTGAAGTCTTGATAGATTCATTCATCATCATCTTCATCGTCATGTCACTTTGATCATGTACGGTCAAAGGTCAAAAGTCCACTGCCACCGTAAGACTACTATCGGTTGCGCTGCAGCGCTTATACACACATGCACACGCATATTTTTATCCGTGTGCGTACACGTTCGTGTGTTTATGCGTACGCACGCGTTTTAATGTACATTAATATAAAATTTCTTGCGCATTGCCGTTTGAACATCACTCACGGTGGCAGTGGACTTTTGATTTTGACTTTTGAATGTACCAGGTAGCTTAAATCATTTCTTCGAATCATCTCCTTCTTCCTTCAGACTATTTCTCCATAAAATTTAAGACAATGATATTGGAAAAATACCCTGTACAATGACCAGAATCAGACGCAATAATTCGTATCTTTTAATAATTTTATGGAGCGCTGGGTATAATAAGTCTGGGGGATCAAAAATTTGCCATTATCAGGGTGAACTGAGGTCACCAAAGCACTCTTGCACTTATTAAACAAACGTAAATGTTTGTATGAAGCACATTTTTGCTAGAAATATAAAGACACTGGGTTTCTTGCACTGCTGCGTCAAGCTAAATGTGTGCACTAGGATGTCTTGTAAATTGTTTTGCAAAAATGGTGTTTATTTATTCATTTCTAGGGTTGTTATTAATAAATGTGTATTATTATTATTTTTGTTTTATTTCTTTTTGATAAATTTCTGTTTGCGACAAGCTCAAAAAATACTAAACAGATTTTGTTACGATCTCTCCAGTGGATACTGCATAGTAATACCATGAGGAAATTTATACACTCGTTTGTCTTTATATATTTTTTTTTCTATAAGATTTGTTATATCCATCCTCCATAAAAAAATACTTATTCCACGACTTTCATCCGCTTCACTTTGGAATAAATAAAAAAAATAAAACATTTACGAGAAAAATAGTATTTATTTGAAAAAAATAATCTTCAAGCATTATACTATTGTACAATAAATATGTTAATCACATTATTAAAGATTAATATACAGATAAATATAAAACTATAATTACGTACTACAAAACTAAAAATGTGTACTAAGAGTACTAAATATCGCAAATTTAATTTGCTTAATAAATTAATCATAATTTTATTGGCACAATGAGATCAAAGTTAAGATGTGTCTTTGTAATATCACTCGTAGAATTTAATTCTAGAATCTTCTATTGCTAGTAATCATAAAATACTGGATTAATTCTTAATAAGACCAATTTAAATAAGAGATTCCGTGGCGCTAGTCTAGTTCATAATATAAGTTACGCCACATTTATTTAATAGAATGTCAACCTTAGCGTTTTACAATAAAGTTGAAAATCCATTTAAGCATTCTAGCACTTTTGGCTCGATGTGCAGTAAATGTAGTAATATCAAAACTCATTGTTTTATACAAGTAAGGTAACGAGAGATGTCGATTAATATTATTATCTCCTATATTGGAAATGTCTAGTTGACCATTTTCACCCTTATTGCGTTGTAAACTAGGTTGAAAGTCACAAAGCATAGAGCAAAATACAATATTTTGATGAGTTACAAAATTTTTGCATCGGAATTTCCCTCCCACCAAATATTTTAAATATTTGAATTAATAGAACATTAATAACAGAGTTATAATAAAATTCATATTATAATTACCTTACAAGGAGCGAGGAATAACGATGACAAAAATGAAATATTTAATATCGCGTCATTATTCTCGATCCTGATTGGTTGTTGATCACGTGACACCTTTCCCTTCCTATCCCTGAATAAGTCCTTTACGATGTAAGTTCATGATGGAGTCTGCTATGATTTTCGCAGTTTTTCTCAAGTATCCTCCACTTGTCAACATTACTATAGGAATGTTTTTCGCCTTGCACATTTCGAAAACGAATTCGTCTCTTTTTACTATACCCTGAAAAGGGATAATAATCAATGAGGCCTAAAAATATATACGTAAAAGAAAGATTTTTAAGCAACCGGATAATACAAAGCAGCATACAGTTGTGCTACGTCCTTATACTTTGATTAAATGAGAGTTAATTGGGTACTTGTCATAATTCCAGCCTCTATAATAGTAAGAACAATTTATCTAAAGAAAAGAACTTACAAATTCGCTAATTCGCATGTGCCCCAATGGATCCGAATCCAGTATGTCAGTCCCAGCGTTGTATATCAAAATATCCGGCTTGAACTCCTTCAAAGCTTGTTTTAAATTCCTGAAATTATTTCATTATGTATCAATAGCTAATCTTAATTATACAATCATTGACATACTATTATATTGAAATCATAACTTTATCACATTACTTTTTAGAAGAAGTAACAAGAACACCACAGAACAAACATTAAAGATTTAGTTTTTGCACTTACTAGGTGGCGCTACTAGCGAATTAGGTCTTGTTTGTATAACTATTGCTATTTGCTTCCAAGCACTTGATTACAAAGGGCTGATTAAGATAATTAATTCTAGTGATGTGGTTTTTACACTCACTAGCTGATCTAGGTGGTGACTCGAGTACGCACCACCGGATAAATAATTGTTCACAAAGGGCTAGTTAATTCAAAGTATGATATTAATTGAACTAACGTTGCAATTATACAACGCGCTTAATTATAGTTCTGTCACTACAAATTCTTTATAAAATGACAGAGATAGCACGATTTCAGTATTTGGGCGTAAGCAATACAAATTATTTTAATTATGTTCCACGTTTAAAGTTGTGTGAACTCACTGTCTTAACTTGAGCATATACTCCATATCTTCGACTTTGTTACCAAGCTCCACCTTCCTCCTAATTGCTCGTTTGGCCTCTTTGTCGTTCGGATATATGTGCTTGTTGTACATGTCCATTATGTACACTTCTGGTACGCCTAGGAAGTCGCGTTCATAGCCATTCCCCTGGAAATATATTTATTTAGAGGTATTTACACTTTATTGTACACGATAAAAACATACAGAAAAATTTTAAAAAAAATGTGTACAATAGGTACAATCATAGAATGCGATTTCTTACAGGCAATCTTAGGAGCCAATAATCACTAGTTGAAAAAAAGGGGGTCGTCCAGTTTACAATAATAATCAAACTGATACATAATAATACGATCTATACATACCAAATAAATAATACATACACTAAAACAAATATTACTACTTTACATATGTTTGCGTGCGTAATGTGTATCTGTGTGTGCGCGTGCGCGCGCGTGCATATGTGTGCATGTGTGTTATAATCTCGATCAAACTCACAAAAAAGTAGCAAAGGAAATATGTAACGAAAATAATTATAAAAGAAAAAGGTCCTAGTAGCACTAGTAACCCAACGGAGATAGCAAGTCGAATTGAGTTGAGACAAAACCATAAAAAAAACACCAAATTGTCAATTTTCTTTATCACATTCGCAACCTTATTATTATGTAGCTGAGGCTATATTTTATTTAATCCATAATTTTGAAGAAAATGGGCCCTCTACTCTAATAAGACATAAAATATGCATTACCTGATGAGCATCCAAGTCCACAATCATAGCATTCTGTATCAGATCATGCAGCACTAGGAACTGGATGAGCAGGGTGATGTCTGCATATGGACAGAATCCTCCACCCCTGTCACCACTGCAATGGTGGAAGCCACCTCCTACGTTGATAGCCCAGCCTCGCTCCAATGCCAATTTACCAGCTAACACTGAACCACCTGTTTGTAGCCTGAAAGAAATAATAACGTGGTATTGTGTTTTTTCCAGCCAACGGACTGTTTACAATGTTTGTAGTGTAGTAAAGTAGTAGTAGAGTAAAATTCCCTAAGATCAGAAAAGGAGGATCCTTCAACCAAGTGCGATGTTCGTGCCTTTCAGGGCTTTCTGCCCACCAGTTGTTCATTTGAATTTTCTATCCTAAGTTTTAATGTAAACTTTAAATGTGCGATGTAGGATTTTGTGACATAATCGGTTGATTTGTTTTTCCTTTCATTTGATATGTTTCGCCACAATACAGGGTGTAAACGGAACGCTCCCGAAAAACGCTGACAAAAATAATAGTTTTTTAAATTTTAATCGTTGTTGTTTACATGTTATTCATACAACGTCAGCCTTGAGCGGTTAATTACAACAATTATTACATAAAGGTAACATTTAATTCCTTACATTCATGAAAATAAAACTTGTTTTTGACCATAATCTGTCGGCGTTTTTCGGGAGCGTTCCGTTTATACCCTGTCATCAACAGCCTATAAATGCCCACTGCTGAGCAAAGCCTCTTCTCACACGGAGAAGGTTAGTGCATTAATCACCACGCTTGCTCAATGCGGGTTGGCGATTTCAAACTTATAATTAGAAATTATAAGTCCAGGTTTCCTCACGATGTTTTTCCTTCACCGTTTGTCAGTGGTGTCTAAATAATCTTAGAAAGTACATATAACTCGGAAAAAGTCACATTGGTACTTGCCGTTGGTAGGTTTCGAACCCGCACCCTCATGCATGAGAAGTGGGCGTCTTAAACCTCCGGGCCACCACGACTTTTTACACCCTGTATATATTGCCTTTTGGCCGTGCAAACCTTAATTTTGATGTTACTAACAAATAGTAAAATTAAAAAAAATCAAGACTTCATTACTTGAAACTAGTTGTACTTATGTAATGTTTTACAGAACCATATCTTTAATATTTATATTGACTGTAGTATTAAGTTAGTAATTTTTAAATAAATTAATAAAATAAGTCAATGATAATTATGTTATTATGCAATGCTGCCAGCCTTCTGGGTACTTTCCCAACTGACATCGATGCGAATGAACTTTTCGATGCTTTCTGTAAATAGTTATTTTTAGTTATCCCTTAGTAAATTTTTATCTTAAGTTGTATATATTTAGTAATAGGGAATACGAAAGCCGTGAGAGAAGCCAAAAACAGGACAAGATGGAGGAAAATAACACAGAGAGCAATGAAAGCCTTTCAGAGGCACGACCATCAGTAATGAAGCAAGCGATTGAGAAGAAGATTAAGTAATAGTTAGTATTTATTTTATTAAATATTCATTATGTACCAAATAAAAGTCACTGTTATGTTTTATACCTCATAGGCTTCAAGTATGCATACTGCACCAGTATATTTGGTACTAATGCAATCACTGGAACTTCAGCTATCACAGCTACTTTTGGACTCCACTGGAAGTAAAAAATTTACTTTAGAAAAGTAAAGATACTTACTTAATCTACATTTAAAAAATGAAACGTAATGTTCTGTCTATTTGACTTAATCAATAATAATTTATACAAATCAAAAAGAGTTCATATAACTTACTTTGAGTGATTTCAGATATTTTCGAGTGTGGACTATTTGTAAATCACTCTTTTGAGCTTCAAGTGGTCTCACTAAGTGTTCTTCTGTTATCAATCCAGCTTCTTTCAGGTACTGAAATAGTTTATATGGCGTGATAAGCATACATTAAACATAATAAGCAATAATTTATAACACAACAATTATTTTTCACCCCCTATTACATGAGACTCATAACATAAATAGTGAAAAGTGGGTGTTACATTGTACAGTGGTATAATGTGCACCTCTGCCTACCCCTTAGGGTGTAAAAGGCGTGATGCTATGATGTTATGACAACAATAATTTTTAAAAGTTTGTTATCTACATTATCTAACAAAATTTAATATAAATGAATACACGGCAATACTGTTGGCATAGTAAGAAGGTTGTTTTTGCACAAACTTTATACATGTCGGCGAATCAAAGATAATAATACCTGGATTATGTTGCGCCATTTCTTTGCATCGAATACGTGAAACCTTTCTAAACCCAAAAACGATACATTATAATTATCGTCGTAAACCAGAGGCCACTGGTCCTCTCTTATATCAAAGTATAACTTGGACTCACTGGAATAATTAAATAATAGTCGATATTTACTTCACAAAACAACTGCAAAGGTCACGATGTTTTAATCAGATTAAAAAGAAAGTCATAAATAAAAATCTCTATAGATACAAACCTTGACATGTTTAACAGATATTAAATAAATTTCTAAACTAAAATTCTGGATAATTTACATTTTTTTCGATATCTAATCCACAATCTCGCGAAACGCAATTTCGATTTTCGCGGATGACAATTTCACAATGACACTGACTTAACAGTTGTATGAAAGCAAATAAGGTTTCGTTTAGAAATTACTACTACATTAGCTAACCTAAAAAAAGTGAATACAGTTCTATTGTCTCGCAGATTTGGATAACAAAGTTTTAAATACTATAACTTACATTAAAGCTTTTGCGGTCATAAACTGGAAGGTTCGGTCTTATTATATTTCCGAACGTTCGACGTCTGTTGCTTAGCAACAAATGATGACGTTTCCGGAGCGCGAAATGTAAACAAAACGTGGACGCTATGAAGTTATAGAAGATTTATTAAGTTTTTATATAATTTATTATATTGTTATAAACATGAGCAATTAATAAATATACAGTTACGAATGTTACTATACTGTTAATGGCTAAAAACTATTTTGATATGGAAAATCCCACTTTGGAAGCACTTCAATGTGAAGTGGACTTTTTCAGGGTAACTGGTCATTAAAATCTTATCAGTACATAGCAATGGCACGCCTAGCGACACACTCTTAACTTAACTAATTGAAGATAATCTGTGACATTATAACTAAATATTTTTTTGAATTTATAGCAAAATCAGACAATAGTGGAAGAAGAAATAAGGACTCTAATAGCAGACAATCAGAAATTGTCTCAACAAGTGGGGATGCTATTGAAGGAGAAGTTAGACAATGCTAGAGCCAATAGCCACAATCTGGACTACACCAAGGAGTTGGAGGAGTTAAGAAAACAAGTCTCTTTGCTTTCAAAGGTTTTTATTTTTATTTAGGATTCTTATTAAATTAATTGTATTATTAGAGTTAGGCATCTCAGTTTTTATACGTAGTGATGTACAGCACATCCATCCAGATGGCGTGAACATCATCATGTTATTAACTTAACACTGTCAAAGGTCAGACGTGCAACTATGTACTTTTTTATATAGGTATTTGTTGGGCCGACGTTTGACCACTATCTCGCCTAGTGGTAAGCGATGATGCGGTCTACGATGGAGCACGTCGACCCATAAGCAACTCATTCACTCGAGCCTTGAAGACACCCAGATTAAACCCTTCAGGAAACACAAACTCTGGCAAAGAAATCCACTCCTTAGCAGTACGCACACTAACGTACTTACCACCTAAATACCCTTCTCTGTCTTCAGGAACGAGACTCACTTCATGTACTCTGGCAAACCTCACAGAAGACTATAGATGCCCTGGAAACTGAATTGAAGACTTACCAAAGTTATGACAGTGGGGGAAAGAAGGTAGGTACCTTACGAATCCGTACTTACTTTTTAAAAATGAACTTGTGTCGTGCTTGCTTGCGTGTTTATTACTATCATCAAATAAAATTGTATTATTCTTACACCCTTCAAAAACTGGCTATTATTTAAAAACAGTGGAATATAAACTACAAACGATTAAGTCTTCCTTTGAACATTCTACTCCACATTACATTCTAAGTAGTATACAATAGTTAGTTAATCATTTTATTTACACAGCCCCCAACAGAAGAACGAAGAGATTTTGAACTAAAACTCGAAACAGCATTAACAGATTACATCGACCTCGAAAACAAGCACAAAGACTTGCAAACGAAACACGCTGTATTAGAAAACGACTTGAAAAGCCGAGAGAAAGAGATAGCAGCATATAAAGAGAGAGGCAAAGAGTTAGAAGATAAGTTGAGTGACGTCACAAAGAGTTTAGAAGAATATAAAATCAATTTTGCGGTGGAGAAGAAGAATAGTGAAGATTTAAAAGAACAGTTGGGACAGTATCAGAAGGAATGTGCTGAAAAATCGAAGAGGGAAGTGGAAGCTAAATCTAAAGTAAGCTTTTATTATGTCTATAAGAAGTATCTTATGATTTCTGCCATAAAACTCTTTCTTCTTCTTTCTCTACAGGTAGCAGAAGCATTACAACTGTACGACGAAGTGTCGAAACAGAAGAATGAAGCTTATAAAACTGTACAGGAATTATCTAGTAAGTTGGATTTACTTTTAAAAGCATTAAAACAGAGTTAACTTCACTCACAGAAAGGGTAATAAGAGAGTTGAACAACTGGCACTTTTTGCTACTTAAGTTATGACGGTCATAGCGTCAGACGGCCAGAAATTGTACTGTGCCTAAATAATGAGACTAAGACTTTTGAGAGCCGAAAAAGTGAATAATGAGTTGTCAAAAAATCTCATGCTCTGCCGTTACACAGTTTGAGCCAATAATGGAATGGATCTTTTTTTATTTGATGGGCCGACGTTTGACCACTATCTCGCCTGGTGGTAAGCGATGATGCGATCTACGATGGAGCACGTTGTCCCATAAGCAACCTATTTACTCGGATCTCAAAATACCTTACTAATATTTTACAGGAGAAATAGCCCAGCTTAAACACACATTATCGAACATAAGACAGGAGATAGAGACGTCGTGTAGGAAAGAAATGGACGAGGTGAAGGAGAAGTACAATGAGAAAGTAGCCGACATGTTACAACATATTAGGAATTTGGACGCTGAGCTCGTGGAGAAAGGGTTGCTACTGAATAAAACTTTAAGGTAAGTACAGATGGGGCCCAATAGGGCCGATGCCGATTCGGAGTCGCGGAGAACCTAACGGGTAACCGGGGCTCCGGCTCGACGTGCAAGAGAAAAAACGGGGTAAAACCACCCCTAGTCAGTAAGAGTCTGACACTCCCTCCCTCCTCACCCAGGCGGGAGCGGTCATTCGATGATTTTCCCCCCATAAAAAAAAGGTAAGTACATATATTTTTTAACTTCAGTAGGTGCGAAATGGAAAGTGGGAGTACCTATTCCAAACAGGTCTCTACCTCATGTGTCCATCTGTACCTGAATGTCTTTTGGTAATGTTTTCAGGGAAAACAAAATACTGCTGGCTTCCAACGAAAGTTACTTGAAACAGCAAAAGGATTCATTGAAGTCGCTAGATCCGAAACTTGCACTAGCCGAACAAAAACTAGAAGCCATGTTTCAAGAATTGGTAAGTAGTTTTTGTTTTTTTCACTCGTTGGCCGAGTGGTCGCAAGTGCGACTGCCGGGCAAGGGGTCTCGGGTTCGATTCCCTTGTCGGGCAAAGTATTACTGTGTTTTAAAAAAATCTCAGTAGTAGCACGGAGTCTGGAATTGTGCCCGGTATATGGCAATAGGCTCACCCCCTATTACATGGGACTCATAACATAAATAGTGAAAAGTGGGTGTTACATTGTACAGTGGCATAATGTGCCCCTTTTGCTTACCCTCCGGGGATAAAAGGCGTGATGTTATGTAATGAAAAGTCATTAGTAGCAATTTTTTCTAAATGAAGGCATATTTTGAATGAATATTCATATTCAATTATTATTGAAATTCATAAAAAAAAAACAGATATCTATATCGTTCCTCCAGGTAGCATCAGAAAGGCGCAACATGCAACTAGTATGTGAGAAGCAATGTCTTGCTATCGACATACAAAGGATGCAGGACGTCCACGCGAGGGAGATCAAGCGACGCGACTGGGAAGAACAACTTCTGAGGACACAATGCGATGAACTTAAGTAAGATACACAATATTCAATGATCCCTAAAACTTAAGTAAGATACACAATATTCAATGATCCCTAAAAAGCTAAAAAGAATGTAGCTGAAAAGGATAAAAAGAGCAATAAGAGAGAATTAATCATCTATATACCCATTGGAACGATAATAAGCTAATATTTATGTCGCGGAGAACCTAACGGGTTACCGGGGTCCGGCCCGACGTGCAGGAGAAGGAACGGGGTGGTTTTTAGTCAGTAAGAGTCTGAGCAGGAGCAGTCATTCGATGATTTCCCACCCTTAAAAAAAACAATTGGAATGTTAATAAGCTAATGTGTATGAATTTAAAAAACAGGCAAAAACTAGTGTAAATATTCATTGTATTGTTTTATCTCTCATTACAGACTACAAGTGGAGCATCTCCAGAAATCGTTAGAAGAAACTCACGGGATGGTGAACAAGCTACAAACTATGCTTGCCTCCAGAACTGAACTTAATCATAAGTAAGTTTGGACTACATTTGTGTGTATCCAAATGGCAGCACTGTCGCTTTGTGTCTTCTTAGTACCTACTCTGCTGAATTTGTAATTATATCATTTTTGATATTTAATATTATTTATTTCCATAATTATATTTATTTAAGATTCCCTAAAATTACAATTTTAAATATTACTTAAAATGACTATGTTTTCATAATAACTATCGTGAGCATACTAAATTAACTAAAATCGCGGGTTACGCCTGTAGGCTGTGCGACATCGCCACGACCGCGCACGCAGCCTATGAGAAAGAACCCCTCTGTGGTTCGAAACTAGTAGAGCTTTTCTCAGTATATTCACGTGAGTAACCGCGATTTTAGTTAATTTAAAATGACTACTTAGTTTAGGTAATAATAATGGTCCTGCCACTGCAGAGCAAAGGCCTCCCTACTCCCTACCCTCCTTTCTGGCCAATCCTTCGATATATAAAGATTAATTCAAAAATACTCGTTAACTTTCAGGATGGTGACAACCAAAGAAGAGGAGGTGATAGAACTGAATAAACATTTAGAAAATCAAATGGAGCTTAGTAAAAAGTAATTTTGATTATTTTCTACTAGCAATGAGTAAAGCTTTTTAACAGTGTATATTAAATTTATAATTTCCTATTTGGTTGATTGATAAAAACTATAAAGGGCGTATAACACGAGTTTCTACAAGGGATCGTCGAATTTATGGAAATTGTTCTCTTACATTCACAATATATGCATAACACATTCTAAATGGAATAATACAAGTCCAAATAACTCTTGAGCATTCAATAATATGACGTATTTCAATCACGTAAGGTTTCAATTATAATACATTTATTACAGATGGAAAGAGTCCTACTTAGAAATGACAGAAAAACTGAAGAAGAAATTAGATGAAATGCAGAAAGAGAATAAAGAACTAAGATCAAAGTTAAAACTGCCTTACATTGGCTCTTCAGAGGAAAGTAACAGCTAACATTTGAATATAGACAATATGTTTAGGAAATAAAGTAGAAAATTCGATAGCACCTGTTCACATACATTGTTAGATAGATTTCAATGTTAAGTTTCATAAAATAAAGTCTACTTTTGTTTACGTTGATGATTGAATATATCAACAAGCAAGCAAGGCAAGCCTAGCTCTCAGACATGGTCTGACATGACAATTAAAAATCAATATTACCACTATAGACATAGGTTCCCCATTGTCTTGTACCCAGTGCTCCAATAAACCTACCTCTATGAAAAATGTATTCCTAATTTAATTTTAAGAGTGTTACCACAGTGCAATATAGTTATAGATAATAAATATTATTAAATATAAATTCCATATTTTATTTACTTACCACAAAACATCTGATTCAAAATAAATAACACATTTCTTGTTAGTTGTATATATTTTCAACAAAAATTATAATATGTATATCACAATATAACTCTTATAGCTTAGGGTCTTATAGCACAATAGGGATAAAATTTGTAAATCACGCAGCCACACACTCGGAGAACATACTTGGGAACCAGTATAAGGTCTCCTTTGTGTCTTGGGTATCCACCCATGCTAGACCTTCTTTTACCATGTGGTTTAGGGCATTCTGGGCTCTTGTTTCTGTCCATCTGGAATAAGAGAATAAAAGTTCAGTTTAGTTACTAGCCTCTTCCTTACTGATTTGTAGACGTATCTCTACCAAATTTGACAGACACCAGCATAAAGTATTAACTATTCTGCCTTCATTCAAAACCATAGTGGTAGATTTTATAGAAAGAACTTCATTTGAATCAATTATAATAATATGTCACATTTATTTAAAGAAAACACACTTGTCTTGGTTCCATTTTCTAAAATTGTAGGTAACCCTAAGTTAGGAGCAAATCTATACTTATAATAAATCTGTAGAGAGGTCAATTCTGTACATAAAATATATTTAAAAAATAACTATCAAGGGGTGGTTAGGGATCGCTACTGATGCCAAAAATGCAATCAGTAAAATTTTTGTCTGTCTGTCTGTCTGTCTGTATGTTCGTTATGGAAACAAAAACTACTTGATGGATTTTAACGATATTTGGCACAATTATTCTTCATACTCTTGGGCAGGTTATAGTATACTTTTCATTACGCTACGATCAATAGGAGCAGAGCAGTGAAGGGAAATATTGGGAAAACGGGAGAAGTTACTCCATTTTTTAAGCTTCCGTCGCGTGTGCTGGCTTATAGGTTAAAGCTACATATAAATCAAGTATAACGGAAATATTCTCCTTAAAATTATATAAAAAATATTCCTCGACAGCATATGTCTATCTTTTATAGTTGACTCACAATAACACGTGAAACTCCCGATAGCTTAGCAATTCGATGATTTCTGATTGTATTTGTCTACTCTAACGTTTACAATACTCATTCATAGACTTTATGCTGTAACTGAAAAGCCAATGGTTGAAATTAGCTTGACTCGATATTATAAATGAAAATATGTGAGTTTATGTGTATGTTTGTTACTCAGTCATATTAAAACGACTGAAGGGACCGGAATGAAATTCGGAACAAAGGTAGATTATGGTCTGAAGTGATACATAGGCATTTTACCCCTGGGACCGCGGGCGAAGCCGCTGGCAGAAGCTAGTATTTAATAATATGACAAAAAGTCTTACCCAAGATCATCAATGAGTATGCTAAGAGACACCCAAGCAGTGCCCAGTCCACTTGCTTTCTGCAGCACCAATGTTTGATCCAAGTTCAACTCGCCCGGCACTGACTGCACCAACCACTTGCCTTTACCCATTGGTACTACTGTGAAACTGAAAAAAAGCACAAAATTACTTAATACGTTGATATATCATACCCAAAATTTGTTCATACCAAAGTAGTCTCTAAACATTGAAAATAAGGTCTATAATGGAGTTAGTGGAGAGCGGTCACCGGTGACCGATTGGAGATTGAACAGTTAAAAGTAAAAAATACTTGATTCCACGATCAATGTGAATAATTTCATTATTTATGTTTATTGGCTTGCAAAGTTAACCCATTCATTTTCTTATGTTCAAAAAGGGATTCAGAACTCTGACAATAACACTGTCTGACTTAACGAATGAAACTAACCATTACATACATGGTTAGGGAATAGGCATAGACTATGGAACGCCAAACTAACCAAAACTAAGATAATAAATTGTGAACAAATTATTCAAAGCAGACAGAATGCAGGCTAAGGCCAGTAGACAGGAAAAATTTGAATATGAACAGATTACTACTCACCCATTCCCAAATATCCTGAGTTTCTTTACAGCAACTAACAGATCTTCATTAGTAATTTCTTGGTGTATCTTGGCCTTGCCTCTGGCTGCAATGAGTCTCGTCCGCAGCTCCTCCAAAGTTATAAGCCCACCATTCTTGTAGTTTGTAGCTAAACACACCTCCACTATTTGTACTCCTATTTCATAGTAAAAATCACCAATACCTGAAACATAAAACATGATATAGACCTGTCTAAATATGTAATTGTATGTAATAAATTGATGTACAATTTAAATAAATAAATCATCAATTCTAGTTTGTTATTTCTTTAGGCCTACTTATACTTAACCAATTTTGAAAACATAAAGCTACTTTATGATACAGTTATACACAGAATTTCTTAAGTAATTTGTTTTGTTTTTTAATTAATTTGTAAAGTCGTCACCAACCTAACACAGACCAAAATCCCTTTCCCGATGCCAGTGGATCTACACCGATTGCAGCACACATCTCTTGAAACTGCCTCCTGAACTGAGCATTCTTCTTTATTTCATTCTTATGTTTAGTCGCAAATTCTTCCAAGTTTTCTCTAAAAACTTCCAATTGTTTGGACATCTGTTGAAACTGATTTTCCTGGATTTCTGATCCTTTTTCCCGATATTTCTCCTGTTGCAATCTTTGTTTCTGTATGGCACCTACTCCTGCGTGACGCCTCATGATTGTTGTTTTATATTTCTCGCGTTTTGTACTTAAAAATCCAAATAACTATATAGAATTATCCTCTATTTTTCACAATGATGTCAACAATCGTCGATTAACTGTCAATTCATGGCACTTCATGACAGTGACATTCATGTTTTTCTAACACAACGTTCCTCAATACCCAATAAATCCACACTGAAGAAAATTAGATTTCTCTATAAATAATTTTACTTATTTTATTAATATAAATAAATTAACCTCACATTTCGGTATCTTTTTTATTTCAAAAATTTTTTATCGTGAAAATAACACCGATCAAATTGTTAGTTAGAAAAAAGTCAGATGGCGTTGTTGTCAATTTAAAAGCTTTATTTATTTTCACATGAGCTATCCGTTTTTACTTTTGGTAGAGTAATTTCCTAACAGCAGCTCAGAAAAACAAAACAATGTAAAGAAAAACGTATACCGCAACTAGTTCCTCATATTTCATCTTCATGCATGCATAATAATAAAATTCGAGATCTTAGCTAGAAACCAGTTGTTTAGTTTACCTTAGTTCTATATAAATTAGTTATTATATAAATTATAGATTACAAATTATTAAAGGCACTGCCTATTCTTTTCCGATGTATTAACTTCTGTTTTCATTATTATTTACAACGTGCACTTATTCATTGCTAAGTTATTTTGTAAGTTATAAATTATATACTTTACTAAGTCGTTATTTTCTGCAAATAAAACAAACTTTCATAACACTGAGAACTTATGTAACTTAAAATAATGTTTATCTTAAAATGTCTTCAACATGCGTATTGTATACTCAATAATAGCTATTCCTAGGCAGATGGGTTTCTAATAATTTCACCAAAATCTTTGAAAACTGTAGCAAAAAGATTTGTTTGCATCCCTGGTGGGGATCGAACCCACGACCTTTGGATTAGAAGTCCAACGCGCTATCCTCTGCGCCACAGGGACTGTTGTAAGATAGGTTAAAATTTCTATGTACTATCTACTACGTGAATACATATAATACAGTTTAGATATTTTGCATTTATTTATAGATTAAAATGTTATTATATATTTTAAATACTATAATGTTCATCAAATACGTCAAAATATAATTTTTTAAGTGTTTAATGCGAAAAGAGTATGGTTATTTTTATCGTTTGTCCGTTGTCATATTTTCAACCGGAAACGTCAACAAACAGAACAAATGTCAAAAATCTGTGTTTGGGAAGTTTGAAATTTCCAGTAATTTACTAAATTATTTCTCATAAATTTATAATGTAGGCACAATTTCTGTTAAGAATTACTATAAAACAGTTAAAACAATAAAATGGAAAGTGGAATTACGAAAGAATTTACGCCGGCCGTTGCAGAAAAGCAAAATGTGGTTAACGTTGATTCTGCCGACTCCTTTCAGTCTTTCATTTACGAATTGTTTGAAAAGAATGGTATACTCAACGACTTAAGGGCGTACTTACGTGGCCACATAGTAAATGTTCTGAAAAGTGCACAAACTGGTGAGAAATATTAGTTAAAACATTTGCCAGTTTCCTCTGCTTTTCAAAGCCATCGTCCTGTCGTTTCAGGGATAAAACACACCATTCCAAACACTATCCAGAGTCTGTCTCTTTCCCACTTACACGAAATGCTATCTCCTGTCCTTGTTTTGATTGCTATGTTTTTTGTTTTCATTTTTTGTTTGTTGGAAATCAAATTGTTATTATTTTCGTAAACTTCATGTTTTAGTATTATGAAGAACTTTTATTACTAACATTAATATAGTTAGCATCCTACTTTATCTGGTAAATGACATTTACTGTGTAATAGCAATTCAAAATACCAATAAACCTTTTCTCGCTGACTTTGAATTTTAACAACAGTAGGTGATGATGATTTGAGTACCAGATGTTATTCCAACTATTTTTTTGTTGTAGGAGACCCACACCCATGTCAGAAACACTTCACGCAACGTTTGGAGCTAAAATACCAAGCTGTGAACATCTTAATAGCTGAATATCTTATGCGTTTAGTAAGTAGACACAATACAATTACTCTCCACAAAATTGTTGACTGAAATACTTCTTCGGATGTTTATGAATCCATATTACATAAAGGCAGGGTTTTATCTATTGAATACCCAATAAGATAATTCTCTCTTTATTTTTTTTTATTTTTATTTGCAGCCATGATTGTCCCACTGCAGGGCAAAGGCCTCCCTACCCTCCTTCCACTCCTCTCTATGTAAAACTTTTTGCGGCAATTTCAATGCTCTAACACTTACTTATTTTAATCTTGCTTTCAATAATAATATTATTGACTCATGATTGATAATTGTTAAATATAAAATTGTGTTACAGGAATTTAGCTACAGTTTTTCTGTATTTATATCAGAAATACCGTTAGCTAATATGGTGTTTGGTTTCGCCAAGTCCATGATGGAGCAGAGTCCTGAGAATAAGATGGGTATGAGGTTCAAGGAGTCAGATATCTGGACCATACTGAATTACTTAGGTAAGACTTTGAGACAAAACAAAAACCTGCCACTGTTGTGTTTGTGATCTTTCTATATATATTTTTTTTGCATAAATTGCTTCACTAAATATTTATAATGGTTGGGCATTTCGGACTCTTACTTATGACAAAATATAGCAACATTATGGCAACTTTAGATCGGTATTTGTGAAAGAACCATTGAACATGAACCATTTAAGTGGCATATAGCAGTTAGACGCTACCACCCTAGTCTTAAACTGCAATTCAGACAGATAAAAAGTATTTTTACTTCAAAAAGTATATTTTTGTAGCTTCTAAATGTAATATCTGAATTAAATGAGCCTATTCTACTTTTCCAGGAGTACAATGTGACTCTGAGCACGCAGCCAATGTGGTGGAGATGTACAAGAATGATAAACACAATCCCTTACTGCTCTGCATACTCAAGTGTATGCCCCTGTACAAGGAGAGTGGAGGACTGCCACAGGGTATGGACATTCATAATATAATGCCTATAATATGTTTTAGTAAGATGTATGTCAAAGTAATTACATAATAATATTATGTTACTGTGACTGTGTGTCGAGAGGGTGCCATTGCCAAGCAAGTATGGGAATTTTTAGATTTCTACAAATTTCCTACAAGTAAACAATAATATAACTGGTGAAAGTGGACCACCAAGTCAGTCGTGTCCGCCTTAAATGATCCTCTCTCTGATGACTCCATTGGCAGTTGCACTGGCAGCCACTCTATCACTAATGTGGTTAAGCTTATTTTAATATTCTATTTGTATTACTCCTTCTCAAACAGTTTCATCAGGAGAATCCCTTTCAAGCGCAAGGTCGGTGGAAAGCAATGAGACAATAAAAAGACCTCACAATAAGACAACAGGCCTCCCTGACAAATGTCGCCATTACCTCTTCTGCAAGACCTGTCAGAACAAGATGTACCGGCTTAAAGAAATGTATAAGAGGAAGAAGAAGTATTTGGCTAAGGTAAGCTACTTCTAGACCCTATTTTGCTAGTGGAGCGAATTTGAACTTTATATATAGGTGTTCAGAGTTAGTTTTTATTGTCAGTAGGTATTAGATTTTTGGCTGTTTTGGATAGATATTTATCAGGTAAATAAAAATTGGACTGTAAAAGCAAAAAAAAAACTAGTGAAGACATGGGTGTTGCTCATTACGAGTCCACTAAGCCTTATGTCTTGGTTGCACTACACTATAGTAATTTAGTCGAGTAGCGAGTATTAAGTAGTCTTGTTTCGCGCCTGTCCCGAAATCAAAGCGAGGAAGGACTATTACCCCTCGAGCGTCCATATGAGCACCCGGTGGATCATACGAAAAAATGCTCCATGCTGCTTTCTTTTTTATAAACTCTATTATTAATGTTTTGTTTTTATTTTGACTATATTTTTTATTTCTATTGTAATGATCCTTGTTTTCGTGTGCCAATGGCCAAATAAATGCATTTTCTTTCTTTCTCTAAATGTCACGTGTGCACCCGTTGGATCATAAGGAACGCGGACACTCGACGGGTTAATACTCGCTACTACACTATTTTGTAATGGAGGCTTATAGTCCATCAGTAGAATGTCTCGAGCTGTTATGGCGCTCCGGGAGTCCTTTTTGGAAACGACACCACGAGTACTGCTAATAATTTCTTTATTTTACACTTCACAACTTTTGACTTACAATAATTACTGTGTGATATAGAACGATGTTAGTAGTTGAATAACTTTTTCTTAAGTGACCCTATACACAACTAAGATGTATATTTTATCCTACATGGCCAGTGGTGGGGGGTTATTTAAGGGGGGAAAATCATCGAATGACTGCTCCTGCCTAGGTGAGGCGTGAGGGAGTGTCAGACTCTTCCTAAAAACCACCCCGTTCCTTCTCATTCACATCGATCCGGAGTCCCGGTAACCCGTTAGGTTCTTCGCGATACAATGGGGGTTATCCCTTAGTCGATAAATATGCTTGCGCGTGTAAGTGCCACAGGATGTACGGATTGATTTAATTGCAATTTACATGTATAGGGCTTTGTTAATAACAATGTAAGGATTGCTTAGATCTTTGTTAATAACAATGTAAGGATTGCTTAGATCTTTGTTAATAACAATGTAAGGATTGATTAGATCTTTGTTAATAACAATGTAAGGATTGATTAGATTGTAATTTACAATAAGACCTTGTTCATAACAGAGCTATAGTTAATTAATGATTTTTATCCGTAGACTTTACTATGATTTTTTTCAGACTTATAAAGACAGTCCTAATATGAACCCCGCAAACCTGGAGAATCTAGTTAACAACATCAACGTTATGGAGAAAAACCTCATTGAAGAGGTCTTTAATACTTGCTTTATTGTATTAATTGCGAATTGTGCTGTAGGACTTACACACGTTACTGTTCGACGAGATAACTCGATGACTGTCGCGTATACTACCTACTCATGAGTATAGGTCCCTGACTGGCTTGAAAGTAGTTGAGGTACCTCGTCGCACAGATTTAATTAATGTTGTATGTCTCACGATGTTTATAATGCTTTTGATGTTTACTGTTAATCATTCATTTACTTGTTCACATAAGTAAACTTTTAATGACTATAAATTGAAATATTATCAAGTTTAAATTGTACTTATATATAGTGCCATCTCTGTCATTTTACAAAGAATTTGTAGCGACAGAACTATAATACTAAGCGCGACTTAAAATTGATAAGCGTTCGAGTATTTAACCATTAGTGAGTAAATTTCATTAAATATTAGAACATGCTAAAAGCATTTTGCATAGCGAATATAGTATTTAGTCGGTATTTATGTAATAATTAATTCTTTAAAATAATATACTATTGTAGATGTTCCAACAACTGAAGTGTGTGTATGAGACGGAGATGGAAATGGTGAAGATTGAAGAAGAGAAGAAAGTGAAGCGGTCGATGGCCTCCCACGCCATCAAACTGCAGATGAAACGAAATGAGGTAAGTTAAGAGAAACGATGATTAAGAAAAAAGTGGTGTGCCTATAAGTAATATGATGATGTCTCATCATCATGAGTTCCTACTTGCCTTATAAGTGCCCACTGCTAAGCAATGAGTGACGATGTCTGATTGAAGTTCAAACAAAATTAATAAACCATATAAACCATTAATAACTTGGGATAAAGGAAAGAAAATTATTTTGAATAATGGGTGCATAGCACATAACTGAACTGAAGAGAGAACACTAATAAAAATATCATAAAACCACTATTAGGGCTTGCTAACTAATTTGACTAATGAGCCAATTTGAGGTCCAATTAAAAGTACCCTTAACAGTTGATGAAGCGAAAGAAGTAGGTATGTATGTAAGAGTATGAAAGAATCGTAGCTATTGGCTTTCCAGTCTCTGCCTACCCACATGGGAGACAGGCGTGAGGTTATTTATGTATGTAAAAGATGATGATTATCAAATTATCAGATGGAGGAAAAGTTTAAAGCCCGTGAGGCGGAGTTGGAGCGTCGCGTGACTGCGAAGAAACAGTTTCTGTGGGGACTTGCGCGCGCACTCCGCTCTCAGCACGCCAGCATGGCGCGCGCTATGAGGGACGTCAAGACTGAGACACATAGATTGGAACTTAAGGTAGGTAATCTTCTTCTTGATAACTCCTCGCCACCAACGTTATGATTTAGACCTAGATCCTAGGTGCTTTTCATCATGCATGGCAACTGCCAAATAGTCTTATCGGTAGTCTTCATCAATCGACTGCTTTGATTAGAAGTCTTTTACAAATTGGATTTTCAATTTCAAAATGTTGCAATTGGTATTGTATTTCTAGTTAGACTAAGTAAGTAAGACAGGTTGATGTTGTCCAAAACAGGTCAACCTTTGGAAAAATACAATTGATAGCTAGTCCAAAATAGATGTCCATATTGCTTTGTACCCACCGTATGTTTTTATCTTATACGCATAACTTCTTACTAACAATAAACAATGAAATTCGTAACAGGAGGACAGTCTAAAAACTCAACTAGCGGAAGCAGAACAGATTTTAAAGAAACGCGGCGAAGAGATGCGACTACAGATATCAAACGAACTTACAATCTTAGAGGGACACCTAGAATCCATGAAGAAAGAGAGAGAAGGCATCACGAAAGAGAGATCCGAACTTGAAAATATGAAAACAGCACAAAATTCTACAAGTAAAGTCTTAAAAGTGCATGATATGGACACTGAAGATGTGCATTCTCACTATAATCTTCTCAAAAATGAGTTAGCTATACTCAAAAAGTATCTAGAATCTTCGAAACTGTCTGCTAAGTGCGTTATAGAAAGGGGAATAAGTACTGACCCTGAACAGACTGACTCCAAAGTAACCATCACACTAAACAATAGCCAGGGCAATGAGAAATGTTCCAAAAGCGACGACGTCGATGATAAAGTGAAAACCAATCAGTTAGTTAATGATTTCAGAAAGAAAAATGTTAATTTTAGTCAGGTATGTTCTCTGTGCGTTTTTATTGACGGTCCCTTTTTGACAACTGCGTATCTCATGGCGTAGAGTAATTTATGCTCGAATACTGAAACGACGAACATTTTAAGTCGCGCTTAAGTATAGTTCTGTCACTACAAATTCTTTGTTAAAACAGAGATGACACTATATTTAAGTACTACTTATAATTGAGTAGCCTTTCAATATTAGGGCGTTATTCAACTCGTAGCCTCCATTTTATTTTTAATGGTTAAATTCAAATGCGTTACATTTAAATTCAAATGTGTTACATTTGAATTCAAGGTTAATGAAGTAAGGTAGGTTCTACCAGTTAACTACCAGATTTCGATGACAATTAGCCAGCTCCATAGTTATTCCTAACACAAGCTTCCACTCTAGCAGAACTGTCATCATTGATCATCATCATCATCATCAGTCCGTGTTCGTCCACTGCTGGACATAGGCCTCTCCACTGGCACGCCACTGAGCTCGGTCTTCAGCTTCTCTCATCCAACCACTGCCAGCCACCTTGAGGATGTCGTCACTCCACCTAGCTGGAGCGCCCTACACTACATTTACTTAGACGGTCTCCACTCTAGAACAAATTAACCCCAACGGTTATCGGTTCTTCGACAGATGTGACCAGCCCACTGCCACTTCAGCTAACTAATCCTTTGTACTACTGCTGTCTCCCCTACATTTTAATTTTCCCATATTTTAATTTTTCAGTCGAATTTGGACGAACTCTACCGCGAGAGGAGTTGTGACCGCAGTCGGTCGTCCATATCGAGCGAGGCGGGAGACAATGCCATGCCTGACTTGGACCTCGAACGAGGGAGGGATAGAGACCTCATTCAACGACTGAGGGAGGAGAATGATAGACTCAAGGCGTATGCTTCACAGGTATTTAAAGAAATGTCTATTAAGAGCTGTAGTTTGTAAAGTTTATAGGTTTTAAGACATTTGAACCAGTCTACTTGCGGGTAATTATCATTAGACGTGGATTTCACCAATTTATTTTTTTGGTAAAGTGTCAGCTGTGGTAATTTGCAATCAATATGACCAAACTCAAAACAATCAAGAATCAAAGGTCCATAATAAGTAGGTATTATTTTTTTAAAGGCAGTAAACGCACTTGTACTTTCTCTAGTGTTATGGATGTCCGTGTATGGCGCTGATCCCTTACCACCAACCTATGTATGTTCTCATTTATTCCAATTCCATATAAAGTTATTGACGTAATATTCCAGCAACGCAGTCACATAGAGCAGCTGTCAGTCCCGGTGCAGCGCGCGCGGCCGCGCACCGCGCCGCCCGCCGCCCTCCCGCATATATACAAGTTAGTAACTACATAACATCACGCCTTTTGTCCCCGAAGGTGTAGGCAGAGGTGCACATAATGCCATTGTACAATGTAACACCCACTTTTCACTATTTATGTTATGAGTCCTGTGTAATAGCAGGTGAGCCTATTTCCATTTACCGGACACAAATCCAGACTCCGTGCTAATACTGAATTTTTTTTTAAAAGACCCCTTGTGCCCGTAAACTCCTTGCCCGGCAGTCGCACTTGCGACCAGCAGCAGGTTACTACTACTTCCAACCAAATGATCTGGAATTATGTGACTCAGTTCGAGACTCTCACACAGGAATTTAACCCCTTTTACCAACATTTTGGTTTTGTAAGGGGTTAGTCTAGCTACCTCGCGCTAAGTAACTCTTAAGGGAAATGCGCTAAGTAACTCATTGATTCTTTAAGGGAAATGCTAAACACATTGTAAATCGTACAAACCAGAGACTTTAGGTAAATGACTTGAGTTATAAAACTTGTCTATCAGGTTTATCAGAGAATGAAGCTATCAGGATTTTTATTTAATTTATTTTCAGTAGTGCAAGTGTGAATACTTTGAACGTTGGTTGGCGGAAGGGCGCCGGTGAAGAGCTCAGCGTCTTCAGCAACGCACAGCCTCGCATACTGGTGCCCGGGGATACTTTGCCGTTCATTGGAGTGCTCAGGGATAGACATGGGAATGCTCGGAGGTAAGTACTCTTCATTTATATGAAAATTGTTATGTAACTTGACTTGTAATTTACTAGCTTTTACCCGCGGCTTCGCTCGCGTCACAAAAGGATAAAAAGCCAATGTTACATATACCAATACACACAGCGCCATCTATACCAACACTTTTGTTTTCCCTCGGGAATATCAAATTTTTCCGGGATAAAAAGTACCCTATTATTTAATCCGGACTTCTAACTTTACATCTGCAAAAATTCAAAGCAATCGGTTTAGTAGTTACGACGTTAAAGTGGAACAAACAAATAAACAAACTCACTTTCCGATTTATAACATAAGTAAGGATAGAAATTATCCTCCGTTTAAGCTTTGCACCCATCTTCTCTTCAGTACTTAACTTGGTGTGCCATTCTGTCTGATTCGATCCAAACCTGTTTGCTTCAGACTTATTGTTTCGTTGACGAATTTTGAGATATTGTAATGTGACTTGCAAAGTAGTCTCGTCATTAGTTGGTACATGACCCGAGATGATGGTACACACGGCCACACATCAATCTATACAAAACCAGTTTATCCTGGTATCGCGTCGCATCATCTTTCCGCACATTTAACGTTCAGTTTATACTGGTTATGTAAAACTCGATGTGTAGCCGTGTGTACATATACAAGACTATTTACTACATACTAATGTTTGTACACAGGTCCCCGATAGGGTCGCGGTCGGCTCGTTTCCGCGCCTGGCCTCTGGCCGGAGTGACCAAGCGGCCCAGCTCACCGCTACGGGACAAATTGAGTAAGTGTAATAATGTCAATACTATCCTAAATAATTTCTTCCAAATTGCACAAGCAACCATTCACTCACTGTGTATGATTTTGGTATCTTTTGAATTGAAACAATAGTATTTAATAGTGAACCTAGTTCCCTAGTCTGAACTATGCCCATTGTGTTTTGACTGCCTCGTTGGCCGAGTGGTCGCAAGTGCGACTGCCGGGCAAGGGGTCTCGGGTTCGATACCTGGGTCGGGCAAAGTATTACTAGGTTTTAAAAAAAACTCAGTAGTAGCACGGAGTCTGGAATTGTGCTCGGTATATGGCAATAAGCTCACCCCCTATTACATGGGACTAATATAACATAAATAGTGAAAAGTGGTTGTTACTTCTATTATCTATTATATGATAAAACGCGTGATGTTATGTTATGTGTTTTTAATCCTCGAGAACAGTTAAGGTAATGTAATGTACACATGCTCTATTATAGCTTTATAAAAGGCGTTCTACTGAGCATGCTCAAAGTCAAAAATGTTCAAATATCGAACGACTGTCGATTCCCAAACATGCCTGAAATCAGCATGCTAATATTGAGTAACATTCCGACACACAAGCACGTGCTGGAAATTAGCATGTGTAACCTTTACTTATGGTGATTACGCATTTATTTTTCAAATCTAGATTTTGTGCAATCTGTTATGAAAATTCTAGATTTACATACTTTTTTGCTCATTTGAACACGTGACACGTGTTTAGAAGTAGGTACAAAGCATAATAAATTTTATTATGTATAGTCGTAGGTTCCCCCGGCGCGGGCAATAGTGGGCTGGGGCTAAACATGAGTGGCGCGTCCGGGTCCATACAACAAGATGACGAGCAATATAACACGCCGCCGCGGTAAGTTATGGATTTTTTTTTGAACGTTGTCCCACACCAGTATTTTCTCCTATGTCGTGGGTGCGTTTACAAACATACAAGTTCACATAGGTACACAGCACACCTACCATTGCCTACCTACCGCGCCAACCGTGCAGTCTAACTTAAATAGTATGCAAGTGAAGTGCAATCCTACTAATTTTATAAATTCGTTTAGTATGTTTTTTACTTCTTCACGTCAGAACTTGGATTTGGACAAACGATTAGGAACAGGGGCTGATTATGTTCTAGGATAATACATAAGCTTTTTATACCACGGGAACGCGGGCAAAGCCGCTAGCTGAAGCTGTTTAGTCATGTAGGGTATATTGTCTCTATGCCTGTCTTCCCTAAGTAGACATACATAGATAATGGAATGTCACCTATATTAATCTATTCATCCAAACTCGTCGGAAGTAGCCAGCAGCTGTAGCCAAATGCCATTTAGCGCTTGTCTACATGTAGAATAGAAAACCAAATTATATGGGATTGACGTAAATTTTGAAACTTGTCAGTGTCATCCCCATATATTTTGATTTCTACTCTCTCTGTAGACAAGAGATAAAATGGCGTTTGGGCTAAAGGCCCAGGATGCACAATCATTTCATTTTATATATAAACAACGGGACAGGTACTTACTATAAAGTGATCCGTTTGTTTGCCCTCTTGTCCCATAAAAAGTTACATTAATCACCAATCTAGGGGATGCCTTGCTGCAAAATCTAGTCCATTGTATGTATTTTTCTTGCAAATGATGAAATGATGGATGTGGTTTTAGTGAACGGCAGCCGCGTACAGCAATGAGCTTAGAAATGAACAGAGACAGGGACAAAACTCCCAAGTCTGCACTCCGTGACGCCAAGGAGAAACAACGGAGGTAAGATGTAGTAGACAACAGAGGATTACAAAATGCACTTTGGAAAATAAAACAGTATAAGTAGTTGTAGATTAGAGTTTGTTGCTTGTACGTCTAGTGTCGGAATACTCAAACGCTACTTAATTTTAAGTCGCGCTTAAGCATAGTTCTGTCTCCACAAATTCTTTGTAAAATGACAGAGACGGCACGATATTTAAGCACGACTTAAATTGAGTAATGTTTCAGTATTCCGACACTTTTCATTTAAATTTGGACATTTAAATTTCTCTTATTCGTGATTACACACGACACGACATCCTGACATGGAACAACTTCTTGTGGTCGCATTATATCGGGTACTGATTTGTTTCAAATCGGTCTAATTTGTTCATAGCTTATTCGGTACAAACAAATATCTCACCTCTGTAACAACTAGTGTTTTATTTATTTTTCCAGCAAAGACAGCATAATAAGCAGTCCTCCTGTATTGCCTCGTGACAAGAGTCCCAATGCAGTGCTACGTGAGGCCAAGCTGCGCCTGCGCAAGTTGGAGATAGAAGCCGAAGCAGTCGAGAAGTCATACCTCGACTTCCGGCGGAGGCAGTCTGAACTACGTCTCGAGAGGAATGCACGCAGGCAACAAGATGCAAGGGACGAAGTGCCTCATACACACCTTGTCGGTAAGTTACAAAAATCACTACAACTCGTGTAATATACTTACTAGATAAATTTCTATTATTTCACGATGTTGTCAGCTTTCAATTTCTTTCAGTTCCAGACGTAATATCGAAGCGAAGCCAATCACTTGAAAAAGTGGACGAGCCCTGCAGAGATAACAGGGAGCAACCATTCACAGACGTACACAAGTCTGTCCGTAACGACTTCGAGAACTATATCCGCGAGTACAAGAACAAACTCAACATCGGCGAGACACACTTCCGTAGCAAACCTACTCTCGATGAGAAAGTAAAACCCATCCCCGAAGCATATTCTAACGCCAAACATAGCGACTGCAATGAAAATAGTGACCAACAAGGGAACTACCTAGAACAACCGCTCACAGAGTTCAGGAAACTGTACACGTCTGCCAGACGTATACGACGAGACGACGTCGACACCAAGTCCAACACCAGGAGCATTCACTCAGGGAACACCAGCAGCGCCGAGGACTCAGCTCGACAGGACGCCATCATTAAAGTCAAAAACAAAAACAAAAAGAAAGCCGAATTAGAAATACTAAAACAGAACCTTAGCAAAATGTACAACTTGGACAATGACAGCCTCGACTTCAACATTCTAGCAGACGCGCCGAAACACGAGAACTGTGAAGAAGTCGCGCAGGTCGTAGACGAGAACGTGCTGCGAGTGGAAGTGGAGAGCTCTACTGAACGGAACAACCTCAAGTCTAAGACGCAGGAGTTGTTTCTGGTCGTGCAGAGCTCAGTGACGGCGCAGGAGATGACGCTGTCGTGTAGCGAGGCGCCGGCCGACGACGTGTCGGCGCAGATGACCATCATAGTGAGTCCGGCCACCAGCCTGCCGCGGCTCAGTACCGCGGCGGAGGCCGGGCTGGGCGCGCGCTCGCCGTCCCCCGGGCTGGGCTCCCCCTCCCCGCCCCCTTCGCGCCGCCGACGCAGTATATCACCCGAGCAGGCCGCGCACCTTACCCGGAACGATGTCCTCGACGCCATCTTCCATGCAGATCCCAACCAGCAGATCTCCAGCGTGCAAATGCAACTAGAACTTTCCAAAGAAATTCTCGATGACTCCATCAGCGATTACGGGAAAGGCGAGTATGCGGACGACTTCTCAGCCGACGTAGACAACTACAATAGCCGGTCCGACTACGACAACCACTCGCCCATATCTTTGCACAAGACGTCCGAGGACGAGAACTTCTGGGACTCGTAGCACGTCGCAGTGCGTGCCAGCGGTCCACCTACTTCATCCGATCTCTCGTTGTCGTGCATACCGCGGGATGTTTTGCTTGCAGAGCGTTTAGATTTCCCGTTTTAGTGACTAAATTTCGGTTCGTTAGAAAGTGTATGAGTATGGCCCTGGATCAAATGTACATGTATAATATAATATCGCACCACGACTTATATTATAGTAGTTTGTGCTGACTCGTTAAGCGTAAGAAACTGTCAAAAAGATAAATATGATTGTATCGGTTTATTTATACAGGTATTAAATAAAAGCAATAGTAATAAAAAGAACCAGTCATAATTTATTTATCTATCGTCTATGTGAATTAAAACATTATAATATCATATAAAACATACATTTTTGTTTACCAATATCTCATATCTTTGAATAATATAAAAGTACAAACATTCGTAGACGTAATATCAACAACTCACAGCTTTTGGCATCCGCAGAGTTCGTACGTCGCGACCTTACTACATTAAATGCTAATCAACGCAGTGAAACAACTTTATTGTCATAATATATAACACAGGAGATAAACAAATGCAACTAGAACAATGTCTTACAATGGTTTACAACACAAACTTACTTGTTTTAAAAAAAAACTAATTAGGTACCTAATAAGAATCACAACTGTTTTGTGCCAAATGCGCGCTCAAACAATAAATCTAATCATTTTTCAACGATTTCTGTTTGTGTTGCGTTTGTAAACCCTAACAACTAATTTATCTAAAACAACGATATACATGAGATTTGTTAGAATTACATTAACGGAACTCTTCATTGATTGAATATAATTTCAATAGACCTTTCTATTTATAATAGAAAGTATAATTATATATTTGTATCAATAACAAAGAGTATTTTATTCTGAAACTATTACATTACTTACCTTACGGATTTTTCGTTGGCATTTCGTTTGTCATCAATATGATTAATGCACAATGCTGCACAGCAGACAATGAAAGATATTTGTAAAAATATAAGCTTTGAACAAGCTCTATGTTAAAGTCATGTTAGCTAAGTTTTAATTCTACGAATGTGATGTAAAACATACAAGACAACCCTTTGCTTATAAAGTCAATCAAAGTTATTGAACTACAGTTTTTTTACATAATTTTTCATTTAAATACCAAGTTCAATGCACTTTGTCATTCTTTAAAACATAGGGTCGCCATGAACATTTAATTTAATTTACATGCCGTTGAAATCAAATGAAATGGACTGTAAACTAAATAGTACTGCGCCAATCCACATTACCTACGAGAAAATAAAACAAAATATATAAACATTCTCCAATTAAAAATAATTATAGAAATAAACATTCATCACCATCGAATCATATTCAATTATTAAATAAACTAATTTATATTTGTCAGGGAGTGAAACATCAATATCGAGACACTAGAATTATGCATGTCACTAACTAAATACTTGTAGATTCATATGTTATGTTTTTGTATCTCAAAAAGAGTTAGTAATACCTAAGTGTTGTTAGATCTTAAAGAAATATTACCTATTTTTAATTACAATTAAACAATTTACATATTTTTGCTGCCCAATAACCGATTAAGGAATGATGCGTATGCAACGCAGTGGTAAGAATTTTTTGATTGAGAATTGTTATTTTAAGTGAATTATAATGTGAAATGATCATATATAATTTAAAAGGCCACATGTATCGCATAACTGCCGTTGAGTAGGGTAGTGGGGAGTGTGGATCAGAAACCGAAGCTGACGTTGTGGTTCGCGTTCTTCACTGCCAGCGCGGACCGAGGGGAGTTGGGGCCCGTCACACGGAGCCAGGTCGACACCTATAAAAACAAACAATAACATTATATGACATTGAAAATATTTTCATAAAGATACTTTTCTTGCGGAACATTAGCTTTTATACTGCTATATGAGTACCTTAATATACCAGAGGTCGGATTTGCGACTAGTTAAAGAGGCAGTCAAATGCAATGTTTCTTTACTTCAAGACGTGGTTTTGTTCTCACTGTGAAATGGCTTTTATTGTTGCCATAGGTACTACCGTAATCAAAGCATTTATTTACATTTATCAATTTACAAGCACTTTCAAATTTAAATAGAACAGTTCGTCAGTCTGAATGACTTCTTTTTTTATAGGATAAGCCGGTAATCGGTGTCGCCTGGAACACCAGAGGCGTTACCGGCCTTTTGGGATTAGGAATTTGAGGATTGTATCCCCTTCAGGGATGGAGACAGTGGGGGAGGTGATTGGGCCTCCGGTAGTCTTACTCACACGACAAAACACAACGCAACCGAAGCTTGGCTCTCCCACACATATACTTGACTGTCAGTGAAGCTAGGGGCTGGGTATAAAAAAAGGTAAAGTACCTGTAGTGGAGGCGCTCTAGCAGAATCTCTATCCCTGCAAGGTGTAGAGCACCGCGCGGCGCTGCGGCCGGGTCGTGACGCCGGACTACTGGCCACAGTGGAGCAGCTCGCCGGCCCCGGGCTGTTGACGAAGCCCGGGCTCGCCGTACCCAGGGACATGCTCACACACATACTGTCCTCTATTGACGGAGCTGGCAACCATCTGGAAAAACGACCAATGATATAGTTTCTTTATTTAAAAGTAGACACAGACGCAGATCTACTTGAGTTATAATTTTACATTGATGATGAACCGTAAATAAAGACTTCTTTGATCAATTAAAATAAGTTCTGAGTTCATGACTACAAAGTAGGAAACGAAGGCGTAGGAAACTCAGAAGCATCCCTTAAATTCCCATAGGAACATGAAGAAAAACAAATTTCTTTTACAAGTGACCTAAACGATTAAAAATTGAAATAAAAGTGTCATTATATGGTAACTTCTTTCCACGAATCTTTGCTAATTTGGACCTCAATAGTATGAAGAATAGTTATGCGGTGTATACCCAGGTTGTGTCAAAATGTTGACTAATACTTACTTGTCTCTCTGCTCAGGCGGGTAGAGCGCCACGTGGTGTCTCCAGCGATACACGTTAGGGTACTGGTCGGCGGATATAGTGGTGGACTGCAGCGCGTCGTACACTAGCCGGTCCATCTTCGACGGCTCCTCACTGGAACCCAAATATTCTATTAATCATTTTGATATTGGAAAGAAACACAATGGCCATGCTGCGAACTAATTAGCGGTGTTTTGTGTACTTTATAATAAAAGGTTTTCGTTTTATTATTTTTTGTTTTATTTGCCAGCCAACTACCGAAGACGAGATCCAACGCAGATTATTACAGCTTTCGATTTTGTAATTTTTAGTATTAGAGCCGAGCCTGGAATCATATCCACATCTAGTATTATATACAGCAATGAGATTAATACCATAGCTAGTAAAAATACTGTGCTGCAAACATAAATACAATCCTACTTTTCTCTATATTACAACCGACAAGATGTGCAACAAATATAATGTAGAACTTTTTGGATTGATGACTACAGTAATTCCTTTAAAGTCAAAGCATTTATTTTAATTAAACCATAATTTGGTACTTTTAAAACGTCAACAAATACAAAATAAATAATAGTCTGTCAGTCAGTCCATCAGTGAAGCTAGGTGCTCATTCCAAAATGTAGATTCGAATGGAGAAGAACGAGCAAGAAACTCCATTCGTTACTCATTTTAAAAACTATAATAATAAAAATAAAAAAAATCAAACTCACCCGTATATGAAAGGCTCCGCTATGGCCGCGGCGCTGGCTTCTTCCATGTCATCGTCCTCCTTCTCAGAGTGTTCAGACGCAGTATGAAAGTCCTCATCATCGATATCAGAGTTGCACGACGCTACTGATTCATCGTCCGATATCTGTAGAGAGTACAATAATAGTTAGAAAACTAGTACAGTTTTCTATAATAATCTATATATATAAAAGAAAGTCGTGTTAGTTACACCACTTATAACTCAAGAACGGCAGAATAGATTTGGCTGAAAATGGTAGAGATGTAGCTAAGAGCCAGGAGACCGACATAGAATACTTTTTAACCAATTTTTGTTTTTTACTTTTTACCGAAAATCACGAACGGATACGGGAAAAAATGGGATTACGCGTACGAAGTCGCGGGCAGAAGCTAGTTTTATAATAATTACTAGTTTTCTATACTCAAATGTTTTTTCCGCAATTTTGGATCGATACTAAAGTCTTTGCGCATCTCTAACTTCAACCTATTTCAAGAATTATGCAGTACTAAAAATCGCATAAAAATCGGTTCGTTAGTGTCGAAGTTTTACAGGTTAAACGGTATGGGGGACAGGGGCAATCGGTAACCTACGTTATTGAAGGATTTCCTTCAACAGTTTTTCTATCAGCAGTCAAAGACTTAAATAGGATCAGATGGAAGTGGTGCGGATTGTCAACTATCGTTTTATAATATTATGTTAGGATAGCTGAATGGAAATCATAATGTCTTAAGTTCCCCTTTTTTTTTATGGGGGGAAAATCATCGAATCACTGCTCTGAGGCGGAAGAGTGTCAGATTCTTACTGACTAAAAACCACCCCGTTCCTTCTCCTGCACGTCGAGCCGGAGCCCTACTATATGGAATCTGTTACTTAAGTGGCGTAAAGTGAATGTTATTATATTAAAATGCCTCTCTGTGTGCTCCTTCGGGGATGAAAGACTTGATAAAAACACAGTAGTACAAACTACTCTAGTTAAGTAATTATCCTATTTTTTTTTTAAGGGGATAATCATCTTATGACTGCTTCCGCCTGGGTGAGGCGGGAGGGAGTGTCAGACTCTTACTGACTAAAACCACCCCGTTCCTTCTCCTGCACGTCGAGCTGGAGCCCCGTTAGGTTCTTTGCGATATGTATTGTTGACGCACACGTTAACACCTCCGATGCACACATGCTTCATCAAGAGAGGGGAGCGGGCGGCTTGATAACGCGACGGCTCGGCGACGGCCCGTGCGCCCTCAACACTATACAACAACGCGACTACGATCGCATGATTTTGTTATAACTTTAGACCATTGTACAACACCAAATACAACAAACAACACCTTTGAAATACAGTCTACTTTCATTTCCACCTAGGCCTATATATACATATAATATATATTATTATTATTTCATGAGTCAGAACAAGTCGAAAACAAAGATGCTCTGCTAAATACAAGCGACACACACCGAAACAAATTCAAACAAATTATTATTCAAGTACAGACGCCAGTGCATTAACCCACTCTAAACTGTCAAAACTCGTTAATAGATTATCACCCTTACTCCATTCGTAATAAAGTCGAAAATCTATTTACACAATTAAATATACATCTTTACAAGTCAATGATAACTTTAGCGCTATGTATAAACCGCAAATGGTTTACGTCAACTGTTTACATGACGCATAAGTCCTTGACGTAATACTCGCCGCATAAATTCATTGATAGCATATGGAAGCTAAAAATTGAATTGTATCTCATACTACAAGTATAGTTGCATCTTACTAGTCTACTTTACAAGTTGTGAAAATGTCGGGCTTATATTTCGATTCGTACGAAAGTAAAGCGTTGAGAAACACGTGGGCAACGGGCATCGTTCTATCATCGGCGTGTTTAATCACACAATTAATACTATACAAGTTCGTACCGAAAATACGACAAACGGATCAGATGGTTCTGACACAGTTAACAATAGCGAGATTGTTAAACGCTACAGTGGAGTTTTTCTTATATTTCGACATAGTAATATATAATTATACGGAAACTGACATTTTGTGGGGTGTATTGTCTCAATCAGAAGCAGTGACTATCTGTTGGATGTGTGTCTACACGAAGATATTATACGACAAGTTTGTGATCGTCTTAGGAGTCGAAGATATTAACTTTAAGGTACTATCCTGTTCAATTTGGTTGCTTACTATACCGATAGGGGTTTTGGACCCAGTTTTAGCAGCCGATTACTATCACTCTTTCTTATTATCGTTCACATGGGTGAAGTTGTGTGTCTTATCAGTGAACATGTACTTTTTCTTTAAAATCTACAATGTTATACTTGATGTAAAAATGAAATCTAATAGTAAAATAACCAGTATTGTAGTTTCTAGTGTGATATCGTTTATTTTGTTTTGTATAACAAGTTTTGGGTCATTCGTGAGTATTTTGGTGACAGATGTTGTTGTAGCTGATGATAGTGATATAGATCAAGTGGTAAGTGATGGTTTTTTGATCATGAATTCGTTTGCTGGTATCGCTATTACTGTAATATTTGTTATTAGAACTAAGACACAGATGAAACAAAAATAGATATTTTAATAATGCAACATTGATGTTTTCTATTAAGCGAAAGAGGTATGTATGAATCGTTGTAATTGGCGTTCTGTAGTTTCTGCTTACCCCCATGGGATCAGGCGTTAAGTTATGTATGAATGATGTTTTCTAAGTATTTGTTAGTTGTCTATTATTGTTTTGATAGAATTACTCAGTCATTGAATTGTTCTATGCAATTTAATAATAAATATTGTAACTTAAATAAGGTATTATGCTTTGTAATTGTCTTATAGTGGATCAAACCAAATGTGAAACCAAACATTGTCTTATTTATTTTATCTAAGAATGTGCATGTAACAAATACTCCTAAACGGCTGGACTGATATTAACGAAATTATTTGTATAGTATAAGTAGTTGGTTTTGCTAAATGTTTTATAATAAAAAATACACATTATACTATTTTTTTTTGCTGAATGTCCATTAATTGACTTACAAGTACTCTTCTAAAGTAGTAACTAGTATAATACTGACCTCAGCGGGAAGCACCTGGCACTTGTTGGTGTCGAGCGTGTAGAGCGCGGTGGGGGCGCCACTGTCGCCCGCGGGGGAGTTGACGCTCACTACTCGAGAGATCTCGCTATGTTGCAGTTTGCCGTCACCTGTTTTATGGAGCTTTGTTATCTAGTTGACTATATTGACGAGCGCTAAACACTCAAGGCATGAAACATAATTTTTCTATTTATCCTTTTCACACGGTACATAAGAACCTCGTTACGATGCGACATTTGAATATTGTAAGAATAATAACTATCTTTTTTTATGGCATAAGCCGGTAAACGAGTAGACGGATCACCTGATGGTAAGCAATCGGCGTCGCCCATTGACACCTGGAACACCAGAGGCGTTACAAGTGCATCACCGGCTTTTTGGGGATTACGAGTTTGAGGATCGTTGGGGATTCAGGGTTGCGGAGATTGGGGAAGGGGAAGGTTATTGGGCCTCCGGTAACCTCACTCACACGACGAAACACAACGCAAGCGTTGCTTCACGTCGGTTTTCTGTGAGGCCGTGGTATCACTCCGGTCGAGCCGGCCCATTTGTGCCGAAGCATGGCTCTCCCACAATTAAATCATATCATATCTCATACAATGCGCTTTGTGGTGGGACTTATTTGAACATGTTCTTGATCGTTTTATTATCATGCTACGACATAGAGCAACACGGAGGGGAGTAGCCATTGCGATATAAACCGATACAAAACTGTCTGTCATTTTTTGCGGGGGGAAATCACACATTCTCAAATTCTCACACAAAAACATTCTATGTCACTACGAAACTCACACTATGACAATTGAAAAATACACTGACAATTTCACACACACATTTAAACAATCCCTGTCGTAATAGTGTAATAATATGACGCAACTACACTTACACCCGCAGTTGTAACAATTATCGATACGCATTATCGATAAATTCAAGAACTCCGTTAAGGAAATTAGCTTTAAAAATTTATTCAAAGACAGATATTATTATTGACTTTAATTATTATACCATTTTTTTTACCTAATTAATTATTATACCCCTAACTACCTACTCCTACAATAATCAGACAAGATAATAATAACAAATAAATTTTCATTTTTTTAAATAAATTAAATTACTCATCCCATTTAAAAACCAGCAATGAAATACTGATACGGAACTATCACTGGTTTTTAAAATAGATTAATTTTATTTAGATATGACGAATACATTTTTGGGGGTTTGTTTTTTTCAATAAGTTAGAAATTATTGCATCAGTATATTTTTGCATTATTAATCTTGCTAATACATCTTGATTTGAGCAAATGGCAATATTTCTTGTGGTTGGTCTGTTATGACAAAATGTCTTACATATATCTCTTAAATTTGGATCTTTAGGAAATCTGCAATAAATAAATAAAATAATAATAATAATAAATATAGTTGAAGTTCTCACTCAGTATTTTTTATTTAAATCAGAAAACTTAATCCCAAAAAATCTCACATTTGACTTCACCTTTTACATTTTTATCGATAACTATCTACAAACAAACCGGCAACAACGCTATCGCTTGGCGACAGCGAATTCTAGGAAAAAAACTCGGATCTGTCGCTCGACCGATCCGCGTTTTGTATGAGTACGCACGGATTTGTTGGTAAACAAATCCGAAACAAGACGATTGATAATATTGTAGTTTTTTTAAGTTTATAAGAAGTAAATAGCAATAATGTGATTAAAAATTACTTAATATGAAAGGTAACACCATGTTTTTGTAAATTTGACGTGGCAGATCTCTTTTTGCAGCAAAAAACAGAACAATTCGGCATTTTTACGACGCCGTCGATTCACTAACGCAACTAGATTTAGTCTGGTGAGCAGTTGAGTTGCAACTAGTTTTATTGTACGCATAGGACCATTTGGACTTATACTTTGACAGAGGGGAACGCCTGCGTATGGCTACTCCCCTCCGGTCCGCCGGTGGCCCGTGTTGCTCTATGTGCTACGAGTATAACAATACATTACGATACGAAGTCACGTGGGAAGAATTTAGGTAGTGTACCTTAAGTAAAGTAATATTAACAAATAATAGGTCAGGAAATAGTAGTATTCTGTCAATATAGTATGCAAGTTATCAAGTTACAAAGAAACTTACCAATATCTTGATCAAAAGTCAGTCTTCTAATAAAACTCTCGCTCTTCGGACTAGTAGACAGTATAGATCTATTCTTCCTAAACGACGCGTTCTTCTTGCTGTTTCGCTCGAACACCTCGATCTTCCAATCGCACCGACACTTCGACGCTTTCTGCCACAACTCCGTACACTCAATCTCAGACATTGCCGGAGCCTTTAGCACTTCAGCTTCCGTCAACTCTTCGCATATAAAACTAGTTAAGCATCTAACATGGCCGTCTATCACATGGGTCATTTTCACCCGACTAGGACCTCTATAATTCGGTTTCCTTTCATCGTCTGAGCTAAATATGTCGTCATTCGGACAACGGAGTTTCACAAGGAACTCCAATAAATGGTTAATGTCGTCTAAGTCACTTGTTTGCTGTTTTAGTTTGTATACAACTAACTGTGCTAGTCTAGAATGTATTAAGGCAAAGTCTATCTTTTGAAATCGCTCGTCGTCCATGTACGTGAAGATTGTATGTTGAAGGTGTTTGGACTCGGACTTGAGCGCGTCGCCGGCGGTTTCAGGCTCGGCGTTGAGAGAAAATGTTAGCGCATCAGCTATTCTTTTAGCAAATACTTGGCACGTGCGCTCTATACATAACAACTGACTGACTGTATGGTTAACTACCGGAGTATCTCCATTCAACGTTTTAGGTCCCGGTTGTCGACATAACCTTTGTCTTAAAGGGTCAGTTTTCCTCCAATGCGCTGGTCTTTCATTTGTTATTTTACAGGATTTCATGGCAACACAGAGCTCCGACATAGGGCTTAGCGTGGAATCCTTTGAAGGACTTTGCTGGGATATGGAGAGACTAATTCTGGACAGTGAGAGGTCTTCAGGCACATGAGATTGGGCACAACTATCACTATACGCGAACGAACACGCGCTGTCATATTTACTCTTGAGGTAATTCTCGAGTAACGTCAGACCTTCCGGTGTTCTCAGGTCTGTGAACGTGTCTAAAAACGGCCAATATTCCTTCCAACCCACTTTCATTTGTTCCGCTAAACTCCTGTAAAGATATTGATGAAATTAATTAAAACTACATGTAATTTAATTTTTTACAGAAATCAATTTGAAAAATTATGATTCTTATTTTAAAAGTATGAGCGTAACAGCAGACAAGCCTGTGTTTACTTTCGTGAGATATGCCGAATTAATCATTATGTTTTCGGCTTATCCATGTGGTTAAGACCAAAATCGGTTCAGCCGTTGTCGCGTTTTAGCGAGACTAACGAACGAAAATTCATGTTTATTTAACCAATTTTGTTCATATTATGTAAGTAGATTAATTTGACATACCTGCCAACAGTTTCTAATCCCTTAGTAATCTCCTTAAGTCTAAACGTGTGTGGTTTGGCGCTGGGGCTGGGCGGCGGCGCAGGGCTATGGTCGTGCAGCAAACGGGGCGCCGGGCCCTCGTGCAGCAGGCGGGGCGGGCCCGTGCTCGCGCGCGGCGGGGTCTTCCAACGCCGGCGGAACAGCTCCGCTGCACGAGCTTCCATGGGACCCGCGTACGCACGGATCTCGTAGCGAGGACTTAAGGGATCGCGGTTTATATCCTGCAAAAATTGCAAATATTAATAATAAAAATTGGAAAACACGGGAAGAATGTTATCTTACGCAGTTTTTTTTTTAAGGGGGGTAAATCATCGAATGCGTGCTCCTCGCCTGGGTGAGGCGAGAGGGAGTGTCAGACTCTTACTGATTAAAAACCACCCCGTTCCTTCTCCTGCACGTCGAGCAGGAGCCCCGGTATCTTACTCAGTGGCGTAAATATCAAGTAGCAACTCGGAAAAAGGCCGAAAGGGGCTTCCGTTCAAAGGTTCTCCTCTGAACTTCGCTTATTTAAGTTGGGAGAGGGGGAGCTCATCCGATGGTCTTGCAACGGGACTCCATCAATATAGTTGCGTAACAGATGCGCAAAAACATCCAAATCTAAAATCGATTTGCGCCAACAACCCATTTATCAATTTTAGCTTTTCGTGAATAATATTCACAAAATATACATACGGGTGGTACGGCCGGTGTAAAAGCCTTCCCTATAGTCGGCACGCCGCTTCCGTCTTCAGTATGTAGTACAGGTACATAGTAACGTTCCTGCAACATACACGCTATGCGACTCGCCACGCCCGCCTCGCTGTTTGATGCCCGTTTGCAGATAATCTGAGGAGGAGAAAAAATAAAATGTATTACAATAAATACTTTTAATAACTCAGATGCCTTATTGGTTAAATGATTGCGAGTGCAACTGTCAAGCAAGGAGGTTCCTGATTCGATTCCCGCATTGGGCAATGTACTTTTTTAAGATTTTCAGAAATCCTCAGCAGTTGCGCAGAATCAAATACTGTGCCTAAGTACGGCAATAACTTCCATCCATCCCCCTATGATGTGGAATTCATAACATAACACGATATAAAGAAGAATAGAGTGCATTACATTTAAAACGCTATACTTCGTGTGGGAGAGCCACGGCCTCACAGAAAACCGACGTGAAACAACGCTTGCGTTGTGTTTCTTCGTGTGAGTGAGGTTACCGGAGGCGCAATTACCCTCCCCTTCCCCAAATCCTGAATCCCCAATGATCCTCAAACTCCTAATGCCCAAAAGGTCGGTAACGCACTTGTAACGCCTCTGGTGTTCCAGGTGTATGGACACCTGGAACACCAGAGCAATCGGCGTCACCCCCATGGGTGGCTTACCATCAGGTAATGCGTCTGCTCGTTTACCGGCTTATGCCATAAAAAAAAGAAAAGGGTTTTAAAACTACTTCAGTTCCATTGTAAACTCTTCAATTAAAAATATTATACGACTTACATCCTTAGGCTGTTCCCCGTACTTATTAACAGCAGTGCGGTTACATTGCGGGAAGGCAGTGAGCACGTCCACCACTTGTTCGGCGCCGAACTTGGCCGCGAAGTGCAGAGGAGTCTCGTTGATTGCCTTGTCCGGAGTATTCAGGTAGCGGTCTACTAAAATACTTGCAAACTCCTGTGAAATGGGACAAATGTAAATAAATGGTAATATAAATAAATAAATCATGTACCTATGTACCTCATGCTTGTAATTTGTTGTCCTTTGTAATATTGTCTGTGTGGTTGTAGATTAGAGTTGCGAATAATAGTTCAATAAGATGAAAAGAGAGATACGTATCTTTCTTGTCCGACGAACTATATCTTTCATCTAGTTCACTAGTTCATCTAGTTCAATTTATGACCAGTATAAAATGACCTATCATTGTATGGTACGCTTATATGATTCGAGGTCAACAGATATTGGTTTCTATACTTGTTAAAAGATACGTCATCTGGACAAAATTATGGAAAACGGTACCGTATTGTTTGTTACGTAAAGTATATTATTGCTTGTTCGATGCACGTGCTCAGTGTCTTGATTCATTTAGTTCGGTAGTTCCTTCTAGTTCAATTCAGAAACGAAACGAGCGATCGTCGCGTCGTTCGGTAGTAGTTCTTGAGTCAAAATGAGATGCGAATCACCAAGTGAACTAGTGAACTAGAGATACAGTCTGTATGAAACTGAACGAAAGACAAGTTGCTGCTTTCCTAATGAACTAGTTCATTTTTGTCTTTCGTTCGCGAACTACCCAAGTCTATTGTAGATACAGGAAATGATAAATCCTTATTTGTATTCCTTGTTTGTTCCGACTTCACGCCGTAACTACTAAACCGATTGCATTGAATTTTTGCAGACGTAAAGTTAGTAGTCTGGATTAAATAATAGGGTACTTTTTATCCCGAAAAAATTGATATTCCCGAGGGAAAACAAAAGTTTTGGTATAGATGGCGCTGTATGCATTGGTATATGTCACATAGGCTACTTTTTATCCTTTTGTGACGCGAGCGAAGCCGCGGGTAAAAGCTAGTAAATAAATAAATCTCCCGATAGATTTCGATCATGGTGGCAAGTCTAACTAGACTAACACATTACATAGGAGATATTATAGTGCACAAGTGTGTGCGCACACCGAGGTGCACTCTCTGTTCCCTCACTCTCTACAGTTCTGAACCCGATGGAACGACACACTGATACGTGTGTAAATGTTAAAATTAAGTAAGGACATAGGCACATGTAAAAATGCAGTATGAACGAATGAAACTGGAGAGAGGATTGGTGATTTATTTATTTATTTATTTATTTATTGCAAAATGTATATACATAGTGGTATTATACTACTAGTACAGTACATCACCCTGTTAGGGCGCAGCAATTTAACTATATTATTTAACTATATTATTGATTCATTTTATATGCACAACTCTGCAACGCCTTTTGTGATTAACGGTATGTGATATTAAGAAAATAAATATACTAGCACTGAAGTATTTCAAAAGACTTTTTTTTTATTAATTTTTTTAAGGGCGGAAAATCATCGAATGACTGCTCCCGCCTAGGTGAGGCGGGAGGGAGTGTCAGTAAGAACCACCCTGTTCCTTCTCCTGCACGTCGAGCCGGAGCCACGGTTACCCGTTAGGTTCTCCGCGACATTTCAAAAGACTTGGATTTAATTTATACACATAGTGTATTTTCCTGATAAAAAAGTTTCGTATGTCCTATTTCAGACTACTTATACTATCCAGATTTGTGTTCAATGTCATCCAGATGGGTTCAGCTTCTATGGTTTAGACTTGCAATTAACTAACATGTAGCTAAAAACAAACATGATATAAGTTTCTAAATTTAATATAACGGTGTAAAAGAACATAATTATAATCTCACCTTACACGACTCGGGGTCAGCATCCATGCCGTATAAGGTCTGAACAAACATCGGGTTGCCGACCGTCGTCAATATTAAATTGCAGATCTCCGCGTTCATCGCCTTAGCCGCTATATGCAATGCGTTGTAACGAGATCCTTCCTGTAACAAAAAAAAACAATTTTATTTTCTTATTAGCTGAGCCCGCGACTCCGTCCGCGTGGAAAACCTCCCCCGTACGCGATAGCATGATAATATGTAGCCTATACGTTGACCCGACCTGTTAGTAATATTCATGCAAAACTTGAAGTAAATCCATGCAGCACTTTTTGAGTTCATCCCGGACATACATACAGACAAAAAGACAAAAATACTAATTAAACCGTATTTTTGGTGTCGGTATCGACTGCAGATCATGTCTCAAGCATTCTTTTAAAAAAAATTCGATGTACGGTTTTCACTTTCCTACTATTTTATTATAAATGTATACATTTAACTGTTTAAAACAAATGTATAAGTGTGGGCTTAATGCCACAGGCATTCTTGCTAGTCAACCTTTAGGTTATTCAATGGTCGGTACAATAAACAATATTTTAAGATATATTATACAATATATAAAGATCAATACTTAAAATAACCCTAATGACAAGATTTTGGAATTAACAGTTTTAGTAAGTAGTTCGACCTACACAAATATTATTTTTGGTTGGTATTGTGCATATATTGTGTATAGTATGAGATCATAGAGCAGTTTCGAAATCGGTTAATCATTATTCTTATACTATTGTAACAGTTTCTATAGAAAAACCTAAAATCGTGTGCCTGGCGTTTTTGTGACCACAAACAAGACTTTTTCTTAAAACCTTATTGTGGTTTTCTGAACAACTTTTTACTAACGCTAACATCATCCAGAATTATCTCCCAACAATATTCATCAATAAAATTTCAACCCTATCACCACAACCTAAGTCACACATTACCATTCACGTTCACAAGACCTTACCCAAGGGACATACCCAGACAGACAGTAACCTTGTACATTACTTAATTACAATAACGTGTTGGTATGGCTGTTTGTGTGTCATTAACGCCATGCCAACTAGTCTATTGAATGCTAATTAACGTAATAAGTCATTTGCAAATCAATCACGTTGTAACACGGCTTGTCAATAGTTTATACTGCAATGGGGATGATGACAGGGTATGAAAATTAAAAATATAATTAGTCCGTAAGTTAGGTAATGAAAAAATAATAGACACGTATTTTTTTATTTTGTCGTATAATAAAACAATACTTAGATAAAACGAATCAAAGTTTAGGAGTGGGGGCTAAAACGTCATTCCTTAGTATAAAATGTACTGAGAAGTGACGTCACGCGACATTTCAAATCAATATATCTTCGAAACTATTCGTTTCTGTGAGAAAATAAAAAATACGTGTCTAATGTTTTTAAATAATCTATCAGACGGACATTAAAATAAAAATTAGTCGTCTACCCAATTACTTGATCAAATAAATACTAAAGGTAATGGCGGAATTTAGAACATTTTTCGCGGGTATCACTTCACCACCCCTTTACTTCTCGTGTGTGTCTTAAGAGCCAAAGCCAAATAAGGAACTAAACATTTCGAAAATCGAACAGCAGCTCTCTAATAACCTTCTTTAAACTATTTAAATATCGTAGCCTATATATTAAACAATCCTTTGGGCTCAGATAAAATAAGGTTAGCTTGTGTTTTGAAAACCGTTGTACACACGGCTACACATCGAGTTTTACATAACCAGTATAAACCGAACGTTTAATGTGCGGAAATATGATGCGACGCGATACCAGGATAAACTGGTTTTGTATAGATTGATGTGTGGCCGTGTGTACCACACTAGGATTATCTGCTATGTCGTGGGTGCGTTTACAAACATACACGGTCACATACATGACGCCCAGACCCGGAACAACAACCTGTGGATCACACAGAGAGTTGTGTTGATCGAATCGACCGGGCAACACGTTGCAGGACAGCTAGTTGCCGAACCACGGCACCAACCGCGCAGTCATATGTTTTTTGTTATTGTGATATTTTAATACAGCACTTCAATAGTGTAAGTGTGACCCTTTAGCTTCTTCATGTTAATACACACCATCCTTACTAATATTATAAATGGGAAAGTGAGTTTGTTAGTTTGTTTGTTTGTTTGTTTGTTCCACTTTCACGCCGTAACTACTAAATCGATTGCTTTGAATTTTTGCAGACGTAAAGTTCAAAGTCCGGATTAAATAATAGGGTACTTTTTATCCCGGATAAAATTGATATTCTCGAGGGAAAACAAAAGTATTGGTATAGATGGCGCTGTGTGTGTTGGTATCAGAAGTTATTATTATACGCGGACGAAGTCGCGGGCAACAGCTAGTAAATTATATAAAATGCTGTGAAAAAATTGTCATTCAAGTCTTACCTGCATAATAGCGGGTGTGTTCCCACTGCTGACTAGAAACCTCGGGTTGTCCCACACTCTATCTCTCACGGTGGTAGCCAGACCAGCTTCTATGGCCTTCCTGAGCGCCACCATATCCTGGGGAGAAGGCGCCTTGAATGGGTAAGGCTTCTCTCCCATGATCGCTGCAATAGAGTATAACAATAATAAGACTATTGTTTTCTAAAAGGAATCACCGGGTATTTATTACATATTCAGGTATTAAGATTTGTAATCTTAAAGCAAGTAAAAGGGTAAATATAATGAAGTTAATCTAGATAAAAATATATTTAAATACTTTGCACAAAACTTTAAACGTCTTTTACGTTGTATTTTAGCATCTAAATTCGAAACAAAATCATCTATTAAAATTCGTACGCGATAGTAAATTCAGTGAAGCATAAAGTAAAAGAAAGTTTGAACGAGAATCTAAATTATATTTTATATTCCTTCTTTGTTCGAATTCTTGCAGTTAGACCCCGATGGATTCTTTCGAAATATCTACATAGTAAAGAAATATGAAGACTTAAGTAGGGTGCTTTACTTGACAATCCAATAAGTTTTTCCTTCTGAGAATAGTTGAATTATATCATAACTGGACAAACTTAGATGTAACAACACCTTCATTTAATACCCAGTTCATAATAGTTGTAATATTATACTATGTTAGCCAATATTAAAAAGAAAATATACCTGAATAGTATTAAGTAACGCGTGATACAAATTCAAGGCTCATTAAATATTGTCCATTAGAAGACCGCGTGATGGTACAGTAACTGATGTTTAATTTATTAGCTTATATAACTTTACTTATAATTTAGTGGGATATAACTATATTTTATATATAGATTCTATATTTAAACAATAAATAGGTTCCAATTGACTGCACGGTTGGCGCGGTGGCTGGGCAACTGGCTGCCGTGCAACGTGTCGCGGGTTCGATTCCCGCACGGAGCAACTCTTTGTGTGATCCACAAATTGTTGTTCCGGGTCTCTGTGTCATTATGTGTATGTCAACTTCTATGTTTGTAAACGCACCCATGACACAGGAGAAAAAACTAGTGTGGGGCAACGTTTAAAAAAAATAAAAAATTGGGATACTTCGTACATAGGTATGTGTTATTGAATAGCATAAGTTATTTAACACCTTTGCGTACGAAAATGGGATAAGCAAAGCGATAGTTTTCCTTGAGTGAAAACAGCTCACACGCAAATCGATTATGAATCCCTGATTATGTTTGAATTGGAATCTAATTTCTATTAATTAAATAATGTCACAATTATTCGTCTCAGTTTTTCTAGCATGACTTTCAGGTATTTAAATTAAGAAAAAAAGCGTATTCAGTTCAGAATTTTACGACAATTAGGTACCATTAACCATTAGTGGTTACTATGTGGGTTCAGCAATGAGGTCGGTGACCTAAAACACGAAAACTTTCGATCCGCAAATATGTAGGACGGCTGTAATTTTACTTACCGAGCGAAAGTACGAACTGCTGTTCGCTTACAACTACAAAAAGTTGTTTAGTTATATGAATGTCAGTTACAGCAATAATTTTGAAACCACTTTGTATCTTTTTTTAAGGCATAAGCCGGTAAACGAGCAAACGGATGACCTGATGGTAAGCAATACGATCTTCAAACTCCTAATTCCCCAAAAGGCCAGTAACGCACTTGTAACGGCTCTGGTGTTCCAGGTGTCCATGGGCGACGCCGATTGCTTACCATCAGGTGATCCGTCAGCTCGTTTACCGTTTTAAGCCATAAAAAAAATCCGATAAGATCTCCTTCCGGTCGTCCATGTAGCTGAAGAAATTGACCATTTTATTGCTTATCCTTTCGATTATGAGCACGGGCCTTAAAGATCACCCTACGATACCTCATATTCTGTATCACTACATAGTATAAAACAAAGTCGCTATCCGTCGTCTTCCGTCCTATGTATGCTTAGATCTTTAAAACTACGCAACGGATTTTGATGCGGTTTTTTTTAATAGAAAGAATGATACTTAACACGTTCAACGCTATGGGGGTCACGGGTGACCGGCGTTACCGGAGTATTTACCTTCAACAGTTTTTTATTGGCAGACAAAGTCTTAAGGAAGGTTTATATGTATAATTAATAATACATGCATATCGCACCCGTGCGAAGCTGGGGCGGGTCGCTAGTTCCAATAAAAAACTAATTCTTAATTAGTACCTACCTAATTAAAGTCTACGCGTTGCATGCCTTGATCTTTGACACAGTAGTGTGACGCGAGTTAATATTTTCGTCAACGTTCAACTGATTGCACAAATGCCAAGTTTGGTACACACGGCAACACATCAATCTATACAAAACCAGTTTATCCTGGTGTCGCGTCGCATCATCTTTCCGTACATTTAACATTCAGTTTATACTGGTTTTGTAAAGCTCGATGTGTAGCCGCGTGTACCTATACAATATTTCTGCGTACAATAAGCATTGTTCCACGAATTCAATTGAATATTGATTGTTATGTATATTTTATTTTATGATAATGAAATAACAGGTACATAATTATTTAGGCATATTGCCCATAATTTAAAAACTTGTGGAAGTGATAGTATGGAGACAATAAGTCGAAAATGACCTAAAAGAAAGAACTGGTGTCGCAGGTGTCCATGGGCGGCGCTGATCGCTTAGCATCAGGTGATCCGTCTGCTCGTTTGGCTCTTATTCCATAAAAAAAGCTTTAAATTTGTTGGCACGACGATACCAAAATACTGGTGAGACCAATACGGATGGAAATTGATCGATCGGTGGATGCCATAAACTAAAAGTTTTTTTTTGAAAAAAAACACGCGAGACGTTGCATGGCAGCTGGTTGCCCAGCCACCGCACTAACCGTGCCGTGGCTTTTTCTAACACCCTAATTAATAACGGATAAAGAAGAAAAATAACTAAGTAGTTTAAGGAAATTATGCAGAAATACACGTACAGTGTACATTACCTAGTCATAATCTTATCGTAAGAACATATTAAACTCAACTTGTTGTGTGTCAACCAGTCAGACATTAGATAATTGCTTAACTGTATGTCAACAATACTGCCTTAAATTCTTAAATTTTTCTTTAGAAGCCAATTTAAATTTATTAACAAAACTAAGAACTATGAAGAATTCTAATTAATTTCTACTTAATCGATTGATTAATAAGCATCATAAAAATTAATGGCACGTGAAGTGATTGCACCAAACCAACGTCAGCGTTTTTCCCGCGTAATAATAGGTTAAAGAAAAGGATCATTCAGAAAATAATCATCAGAAGGGCCGAAATTAATAAAAGATCTTAATCCAAAATCTGTGGATAAGGATCGATTATTTTTTTCTTGAAAAAAGAAACGTTGAACACTAGGATTTTCTCCGGTGTCGTAGGTGCGTTTACAAACATACAATTTCAGATCACAACACCCAGCGGAACAACAATTTGTGGATCACACAAATAGTTGTTCCGTGCGGATTCCCACACGAAACAACTATCATTTAACAGAAACTCCATACAACTAATAATGTCAAGTCTATCCAAACAATCTGAATATAATCTAGTAACAGTATAACTATAACTGATCTAATAACTAACGAGATTTTAACAGAACGTTGTATTTTCTTAACACAAAAAAAAAACGTTATTCTCATTTTTTTGTTGTATGTCTTCTACAAGAGTCGAAATCAAAATGAACTCGATAAAACCGGGTTAACCCATCATTATCACTACTTAGCATTGTTTAAAAATAACCGCGTGATTTCTTGAACGTAGGCAGTACCAATGTAAAGTATATTACTCATACAATATACACGTTTTATCCTTGAATGAATCTGCCCACTATCACGCCACCTTCGATATCCCGACGATATTTAGCTCCAATCTAATTTTAGATATCAAACGACTCGTACGATACGATTACTAAACAATATTTCAAAAGAAACCACGCCCAATCATTTGAATTAGTTTAAAACGTCTTTAATCACATTAATCAATAGTTAAAATTCTTTCTTAATTCTAAAGTAATAGAGCTACTTTTGGACTGTGGTCAAATTGTACATGAGAAGTATTGGCACGGAAAGTGAACACTTTCATTTTCAGAATAGTATATTTATTTGGCTTGATATATAAGACATTGTTTTCTAGTGCAGTGAGTGCCATGAGTAAATACAGAAGCATAGTATAGATGGAATAAACAAGGTTTTTCTCTACTTCTTTGTTTTTTTCATTTTATTAAGTTTTGTAATTTGTATAATGCTTCAAGCGTGTCTTTGCATTGTTCTCACATATACATACAATATTGGAATATGTATCAGAGACATTGTAGAACACACTTTTTTTAAAAAAGAGTAACGAATGGAGTTTCTTCCTCGTTCTTCTCCATTCGAATCTACATTTTAGAATGAGCATTTAGCTTCACCTAGCTTCACTGACGGACTGACTGACTGACAGACTATTAGGTATTTATTTTGTAATTGTTTACGCTAAAAAAGGACCAAATTATGGTTTAATTGAAATAAATGCTTTGACTTTGTTCATTTACAAATTCTTATGAGGTTTAATACTAAATAAATACATATCTTGTTTTTCAGTAAATTTTACGTATCTCACTTGGTGATTTTCGTCGCTTATTAATAAGATAATGTTATAAAAAATACAAAGCTTTGAACTAGTTCAAGAGCTGCGTGGTTGGTCCAATAATGGCATGCACGCCTCATACATTATGTCATTAAAGTTATGCCACACTCGCTAAAAGATCGAGGATTTAAAGTAGGTGTCAAGGGAACCAATTTTTTGGAAAAGCAACAGTTTTATCGTTATCTTTGTATTGTCAAATGTATTTATGATCTATTTTTTTTTAAACCGTGTTGCCCAACACTTGATTTTTCTCCCGTGTCGTGGATGCGTTTACAAACATACAAGTTCACATACACATTACAACCAGACCCGGAACAACAATTTGTGTATCACACAAAGAGTTGCTCCGTGCGGGAATCGAACACGCTACACGTTGCGCGGTAGTCAGTTGCTCAGCCACCGCGCCAACCGGAACCGTGCAGTCGTATCTAAATGTTTACATTTATTTTAAGAAAGTACTTGAAGAAAGACTGTCACTAAGTGATTATGATACTGCATGATCAAAACACAAACATTGTTCTTCTGATAACAACTTGCTAGGTCAACGACCTCTGTAACACCGTTGCTATCATCATTTATGTTAACAAAACAATAAATAAATTCGTTCGGTGTTTATTTTTATTCGATAAGATACTTTGCAATTCTTTTATTTCGATGCTTTTATTAATGAAATGATTAATCTAGGGTATCGTCTACGGATACTACAATCGGTAGCAACGAAGCTATCTTCGTAGCTTACATCTGGACCAATCAAAGGTGCGTTGCCGATTAGCTAGAGTAGAGCGCTATCTACATAGGACCTAATTTCACTAAATCATGATATAAAGCGTGTACAACTATATCAATTTAATTATGCAACTTAAATGTGATTTTTACGCGCAGGTTCTTAGTATAAAATAGCATAAGAAAAATCACCAGATGACTCCTCCTGCCTCACCCAGGGATTATGAGATTCTTTCAGATCAAAAACCGCCTCGTACCAACTCCTCCTTCGAGGCCGGTTCGCGGTATATGTCAACCCTAACGACAACAACAACCAGGACCAGATAAGGCTCTGGTAACCAAAAAAACTATATAAAAATACTCACAGCTATCGTTGCCGTCGGTATTGTCAGTGGGTTCCGCTCCCCGCAGCGCAAACGACACAGCATCCTGTCGGTTTCTGAACGCCTTGAACCTCGCAGACTTGTATCTTCGCACCAGCTCGAGAGCTTCCGACTTATTCTTGTAAACATGCAGCGCTTCTGTAAGAGAGAATAAAACGTTTAGAATGTTTCCTTATTTATTTATGTGGGGAATATTAATAATGGGTCTAACGATTTCAAACACCCTAACTATTACTATAAGAATATCGACAACTGAAAGAAACAACACCTCGTTGGCCGACTGGCCGAGTGGTCGCAAGGGGTCTCGGATTAGATTTCCGAGTTGGGCAAAGTATTACAGTAAAACATCTCAGTAGCAGCACGGAGTATGGAATTGTGCCTGGTATATAGCAATAGGCTTACCCCCTATTACATGGGACTCATAACACAAATAGTGAAAAGTGGGTGTTACATTGTACAGTGGCATTAATTGCCGTAATGTGCACCAATGCCTACTCCTTCGGGGATAAAAGGCGTGATGGTATATTATGTGTTATGTTTATGAAAGAAACAAAGAAAACTCTGTTCAGACTAAAATCAAGATCGTATTGGATAACCTACAACTATTGAGTATGTCTTCCATCAATATCCCTTTACAAGAAAAAAACACACAAATATCATATTTAAAGACGTCTTAAATAAATCAACCATAACTTATTAAACAACACAGCAGCAGTAACCAAATCGATAAATTTATTCTGGACGTACCACATCACGGTAGCAATTAATACTTGTAAAAAAATAAATAGCATTTGACCGAGCACCGAAAATAAACGGGCACGCGTCATTAGCCTAATTACTAATTAATTGGGTCGAACATGAAACATATTGATTGTGAACTACGGCTGTTTCAGGAGAATCAAATGGTATATTTATTAATGGTCACTATCTTTCCTACTATAGCTTCAGTAAGTCAAAAATAAACAGTAGATGAAGAGGGGTTTTAACTGAATAACCAAGGTTTGGAAATTGTACCAAGGTCATCCAAAAACGCGTTGGGTGGATGATATCAATGTCGCCGAAGCGCCGATAACAGATGGATGAAGAATGCACAAATCGGTAAAGTGTGTCAGACAAGAGGGAAGACTTATTAGACCAGTTTACCCACTGCTAGGGCCTATAAGATTTTTTCAAATTGGTCCAATATTTTAGGGACCTAATCATTGAAAAAGCACCCTATTATACACACTAACTTACTGAATAATTATAATTTACATTTAAATGGGCTTATGGGAACAAAATCAAATCAGAACTCTTAAACATATTTATGTTACATCTTCATTGGAATTTACATCCGGTAATCTAAGTAAACTTGTAGCTTGCAGGTGGGCAAATGACACATAATGAACCAGGCTACTACATAATACCTAGATCAAGTTGAACAAAGAGAAACCTACACACAGTACAGTCTTAGTTGTTATAAATACATTATAGTACTTTCACCTTTTGGAAACTTGCCAATAGCTACAACTTCTAACAAGAGAATAGTACACAAAATGGCTTATTTACAATTTGTTGTTTATGCAAATGATTAGATATGAATACGATGTATATAAAAACTATTTATGATACAGTATATCCCACCTATAGTTCAATAAAAGAGTAAACAGATATGTTCTGACAATGTTACCTTTTCACTAGCGACTTTATTAGTTTTTTTTATTGTATTAACCAGCAACGAAGTCACCAAAATAATAAAGAATGATATGCTTAAAACGTTAAAGGAGTAGTTATGCAGATATGCAGTACCTTTTATAGTGTATGTGACACCTCATACTCATACTATGAGTGAGTAGTGTAAGGTAGTTGTTGAGATCCTGGCAGGGTCACCATGCAGTGTGGAGCAATAAGGGAGATGTGTTATTTGTATGAACAACTTTATTTTAGTGTCGTAAACTTTAGTTATGATGAAATGTCGGAGAACAGAGTACCTATGGCACTAGGCTTACTTCTATTCATATGTATATCAATAACATCAACCACTCGTTGAAATTGGGTGTTACATTAAAGTGTATGTTTTGTATGAAATTTGCTAAAACATAAACGACCTTAGTAATAATCCAGGTAAATACAAAAGATTACAATTTGCAAAGGCTATACATAGATTAAACGATATGAGGAAGTTGATAACACTGTTGACCCACATCAATGCTATCTCACAGATAACAAACAAAAGAGGTTTTATATGTTAAAAAGTTAGCAAAAATACTTATTTTTATCATAATTACTGGCAAGTATAATAATTTGGGGTCATTAGTTTAGGATAATAAGTTTTACTAGGTTTAACTTCAGGAACAATGACTAAGTATTGCTGATGTTATTAAAGTCTTTATAAATTGACTTTGGAATTCTGGGCTTGTAAAGTAAACATTTACAGACACATCTGTCAACACTTATTTCATTTTTTTTATACATATACATAATTATTTCTTATTTTTCTGTTACACACTGTGTCTTTTGTTTTAATTACATTTCCTGTCTCAGGTCTACTGGAAGAAATTCCAACAGGAATAAGAAGCACCTTTGTACTCTTATTTTATATATATGTGTTATCCTCTGTGCTGTTTATGTGTACATATTATTAAATTAAATAAATAATTTCTTTTCTTCCTTTATTATAAATAAGTATAATAATATGATTGATGTATCAAAAACATAAATAAACAAAAGCAATGAGTAATTTCTTTCTCAAAAACTTACACTAAAACTTAAGTTGTTACATTTTAGCTGTTTATAAGTGACTGCAAATTATTTCTATTTTAACAAACTAAACATTAGCACTAACTTTCAAGACTTCAGTGTTTGTTTAAACAAATTTTTATGATTATATGAAGTGCAGAACTACCAAGTAATTATAAATGGGTACATACCTTCATCTGGTCCCTTTTTAATTTCACTAGGTATATAAACTCCGTAGTAGGTGATAGGCGGTTCCACGGAGGTTGGGCTCTCGGGCGAACTACTCTTCTTGCTCAATGTATCCAGTCGCAGCAGTCTACTAAACAAACCACCAATTGCCCCATCTCGTTTCTCAGTAGGAGACAAAGATATCTCCTCTTTCATACCCCCAATATCCTTATTACACTCCGGTATAATTACAGCCTTCGACATATTATCGTCTTCTGAAAATCGTAAACATTTTACTGTTTTGTTTGTGACGCAAAACGCAGCTAGCGAACAGTTTATTTTTACAACGATCCTATTTTGTACGGCCGCTCACCTGAACGACGAGACTTGTCATAAAAACATACTCGTAACTTTACTATCAAATAATGATTAGCAATTTCAGCGCATTTTGTATAAAAGTTTAGTCCACATAAAAAAAAATCGGGCGTTTTTTGAAACAGAAAATTGAAATGCGTTACAGAGAACGGTGGATGACGTTTTGACAGATTTATTTCACTAGTGATGGAATCTTGCGAATCTAAATGCTGTCATATAACTTTAGTATGACAAGTTACTAAAACGCCAAAAAAAGAAACAAAATAAAACTAAATTGTAAAACTTCATTAACAATTTTCGAAGAAATAAGTTTCTTTTATTTTAAATTGTAGTTTACTTTTAAAATGCAATTAGTAAAGCAATTAATGTATTCATGTGCGTCATTGATTAAACGTTATGCGATTGCGACAATGAATGATATTCTCGGCTACTCAAGCTAGCAGCGGACACTTACCGGTTTTTAATTCTTGTTTCAAAAATATATTATACAATAGCCTATTTTTTTTCCATACGACTATTTTTGTAATACTATTTTCGTACCATTAAAATGACCATTAAAATCTAATCGAATTTATTACCTAATAAATTCGATTAGATTTTAATGGTCATGGTCATGGATATTATACACAAAGTTGAACCATATCTACATTTCTCACATTGCATGATCTAGAAATAAATAAATATTGAATGGAAAAGTACGTAACACATTGATTAGGATATTTCAAGGTCACCAAACAGCAGTCATGTTTATTTCACAATTTTAGGCAAGAAGTAGGAGATATAATAAAAAGACACACCAAAGCTTCGATAAAAAAATATTTATTCATTAGCCTTCTGTTTTCTCTTCCTATTCTTCTTATTTTTATTTGATGCAGGTTGGACTAAGGAAACAGAATCCAAAGATTTCTGAACAGCCATAGAATAAAGATTTGAATTAATAATTTTTAATTTATTGAGCTGGGCAAGAAGGTCCTCTTCCTTGTATTTGAACTCATTCTCTAACTCTTTTGAAGTTTCATGATCTTCAATTTTCTCTTGAGGCTCGGGCCAGAAACTAATCTTTGTCTTCATAAGGACTTCCATCTCTGTGATTTCATCTGCATCTTTTTCCAATGTTCTTTCTAAGCTGTGAAGAATGATGTTAGGAGAAAATTCTTGTTTATAAATAGCTGGATAGTTTGTTGTGAAGAATGCATTAGTTATTGGACCTTTATGTCTCATTATTCTCACTGGTTGTTTACTAGGTATGTGCCACAGCACTACTTGTTCATCATTTCCACCCGACATGAGTGTTTCACCATCCAATGACACAGACAAACATGTTACAGCCTTTGAGTGTAAAGAGAAAGTAGGACAAGTAACATCTGTGTTCACCAACACATCTCTGTTTCGTGGAGGATTCGTGAGACTAAATTGATAAATCTTTCCTTCCATGGTTCCCACAAATATATTCAGCTCTAAGACATCCATTGTTATAGAGGACAGCGGAACATCAAATACTAGATTCAACAGCAGCTCTCCAGAAGACAAGTCATAGATTTTGCAAGATCTGTCACTGGATACAGTACACAGACGTCCGTGCATGCCTGTCTTACTGATGCACATGTCACTCACAGGTAGAGAGTGATTGGAAAATATATAAACTGGATCATGCTGGCCGGCAGATGTCTGTGATACTAAGTCCACTTCAGGATGAGCAGCCACTGTAGCTAGTGACCATACCATCACTATCCCATCATCAGATGCTGACACAAAATAGCGTCCGTCTGGTGTAAATTTTAATAAGGCCACTTTTTGATAGTGTTTACTTATGATCGTTAAAAGGTTACCAGAAGCTGTTTGCCATAGGTAAATTTTTTCTTCAATCCCAGCTACTAAAAATGCTCCATCACGTGATACTGCGAAGGCTGTAGCCTTTCCTGGCAATATAAACCGCATGCCTTGTACAGTTTGATACGAGTTCAATGGCCATATATGTAATACTGGCTTCGTCTTCTCCACAGCTGCTAAATAATCATTCCCAATAAACGTAACGGTCTTTGTTTCAGCTGTACCACCTCCTTTGTAAGTCATCAAACTGGTGCCGGTATGTGGGTCCCAGACCGCATTTGTCCATAATGTATTATTCGAGTCACTAGTAACTAATACTTCTAACAATGTAGCCATCACGTTTTCAATAAATGAACTGATACCAATAAAATCTTTGAATGACTAGGTTTTTATGGTTAAATGAATGTTTACTGAAGTCACATGTGGATTCAAGAAATCATCACATCGTCAAGAAATTTCCTGACTGCTGTCAATTTGACATAAACAAAAAGGCTCACAATATGTGACATTGACAGGTCTGCAGTGCTAGCCAAATGCCATTTAGCGCTTGTCTACATGTAGAATAGAAAACCAAATTATATGGAATTGACACTTAGTGTAACCAAATTAGTGTTTTGATACATATTACACTACGGACAGTGAAACATAGGACCTATACTTTTAGAGCACCTTTAAGCTTGCTTGGCTTTTACTGTTCTCAACATGCATTGGTAATTACGATAATTATCGTAGTAAGTGTATTTTAATGCATTTCAAAACTCTTACAAAACAATTTATGCAGGAACTAAATATTTGACAATAAACCCAAATAAAAAAAAACATCAAAATTAATTATGTATATTTCATAAATAAATTCCTTTCATCATCTTGAGATGGTTTATTACTTGTTATCGTCTAAACTGAAATAAAACAGTTTCCTTCTTTATACTGGTGTATCCGAATGATACACCAGACCGGTACACGAGCGAAAGAACCGGTAAAGACACTACTCAACCAATAGAATGCTAGTTTAGAAGGGTGCTATATTTTGATTGGTCAATGTGTTACACATTGAATTTGACAAACAAATAAGAACAACTCTCAATTCTCGTTCATGAACTTTTAAGTGTCATTGAAGTGGAGTGTTTTCGTTGTGATTTTTGTATAGAAACTGCTGAAAAATGTTTAAGAAGTAAGTGGAACTAATTTTCTTTCAAAAATTAAGAATAGATTAGTACATATAGGTCTCAGGAGATATTTTGTCGATAACAGCAGAGGTTATAATCTCATTCATTCACGGATTCAGTGAAATGTCAAAATCATAAATTATTGACTCGTTTGTTACTGACCAATCAGGAATCAGCGTGGTGTTGTCAGTGATGTCCTTCATTTACTTTTCGATTATCGGTTAAAATGTTTATGTCGATTTTCATGGTTACCTTAAATGTTTTAATACCGGCTTTTATTTTAACTGCTCTATGTATGTCTGTATAAATAAAGCACAAAATTATTTAATTTAATAATGAAAACATATAATTAGTTCAAAACTTAGTGATTCATAATTAGATTATTGAATCTTGAATTCCTAGGAATAAGATTTGTTTTGTGTGTTTCATATTTACGACCATTTACTAAAATATATTGGGTGTAAATATTTCGATAAAACAGCAAAGGCATCATATCTATACATAAATCGATTTATAATACGGTTTTTGTAATTTGAAATTCTTACATCACTACTAAAGTCTATGACGTTTGCAACGAAAGGTCCGACACATGCGACAAAGATATAAGTTAGACAGAGATACAGAATTTTCGTTGAATGACTCCGAGACGGAAAATTTCGTTCAGTTCATTCAGTATTTCAGTTCTGTGCAGCTGTTCTTATTTGATCGTCCTGTGGATTAGCGATTTTTCGACAATTTTATAACGCTTAAAATTTTTGTGATCGTGGACGAATCATTTTGACCCAAAAGTCTTAGTTGAGAACATTTCGATAAATAGATTTATAGACTTGTGCGTCGTGTGTATTTTCCGTGACGTAACTGGATTTCTTTCGAATAACTGTTCGTGTGCGACTAACAAAGGTCGTGGCGACTAATGGTGGCCGTTTTCGAGTGTCGGAGTGAATTTTGACGGCGCGATGTGGGAATCTGATTCTGATACAGGGTCCCGCAGCGCGTCTTCGGACGGGCTGCGGAGACGCCAAGGATGGGATCCCGAAGCGGAGAGTTTAGCCTCACAAATGGATGAACTTGACGAAGTTCTCGCAGAGGAAGAAGATGGATGTCCTTTACCTTCGACTCCTGAGGATCAACATCTATTGGACGCTGAGATGGCGGAAGTGTTGAAAGCGGGCGTACTCTCTGATGAAATTGATCTTGGTGCACTGGCACACAACGCGGCAGAACAAGCCGAGGAGTTTGTCCGCAAGGTCTGGGAAGCATCCTGGAACGTATGCCACTTCCGGCATCTGCCTCGCTGGCTACAAGACAACGATTACCTCCACAAAGGTCACAGACCGCCGCTACCCTCGTTCAGCGCGTGCTTCGCGTCAATATTCCGGATCCACACGGAGACAGGCAACATCTGGACACATCTACTGGGCTGCGTGGCTTTCATTGGCGTCGCGATCTACTTCCTGTCGCGTCCCTCGATCGAGATTCAAATGCAGGAGAAAATGATATTTGGAGTATTCTTTATAGGTGCCATAGTGTGCCTTGGCTTCTCATTCGCATACCACACCCTCTATTGCCATTCGGAGATGGTCGGAAAATTGTTCTCTAAATTGGATTACTGTGGTATAGCCCTATTAATTATGGGCTCATTTGTTCCATGGCTTTATTATAGTTTCTACTGCCACTACAGACCTAAAATTATATATTTATCTGTAGTGGTTGTTTTAGGAATGCTGTCAATCATTGTATCACTCTGGGACAGATTCTCAGAGCCTCGCTTACGACCTCTTCGAGCGGGAGTATTCATGGGTTTTGGTCTGTCAGGCATTGTGCCTGCCATCCACTATGGTATCACAGAGGGCTGGTTCAGTCAAGTGAGTAAAGCCTCACTGGGCTGGCTGGTTCTGATGGGCTTGTTGTACATATTAGGAGCTATGTTCTACGCCCTGCGAGTACCTGAACGCTGGTTCCCAGGGAAGTGTGACATCTGGTTCCAGTCCCACCAAATATTCCATGTTCTTGTGATTGTAGCTGCATTTGTGCACTACCATGGTATCAGTGAGTTGGCATCATACCGTGTGACAGTTGGGGAATGTTCTATGCCTCCATCATCAATTGCATTCTAGCCCCTCCCTAAACCAAATGTGATAGTAGACCATAGATAAATTTAAGTAGAAATACAAACATTCAATAGCTTCACTGTATATTTTTTAAACATATAAATTACGAATTTTTGTAAAGTTTTATAACAACAAAGAAAAAATTGCTAATAACACAGATGGTTCATAATAAGTGAGGCTAAAATGGGTTCAGAATGGGGGTAAAGGGACTATGATAAATAATTAACATATGTCATAGTAACTTGATTATTTATTTAAAAAAATTAGGATTAGTGAATAGTAGTTATTGTTACTTTCTAGTTTTCGATTTGCACCATGAACTGCACTTTTGAAAGAGAAAAGAAAAGAAAATCACGTTGTAAAACATTTTTTTTTGCCTTATTTCCTTGAATCAAGCTGTGTTGAGATTTGTTTTATCTTTATAGTGTACTTAATATAAATGTTTTATTTATGTACTTGTTTTTGCACTAAATTTAAGACCAGTGTTAAGTAGCATAGAATAGTTTGGACCACATGTAACTCCTTCACTGTTCTTCCATGTACATAAACATTGTCCTTTATCATTTACTTAGAAGATAACAAATCAATGGAAATTATTCTCTATGTAAGCAATCTGCATGAAGTTAGAAGGTATTATTGATCTTGCTTGATCATGTGAATGATTTGTTTGTCTTATAGTTATCGTACATCATTGATCACTTTCTCTAATCATTATTTTTAATCAAAGACAGTTCCTATTTCATTAAATTTTTACTTGGTCAAGATTAATAAACATTTGTGTATATTGCATGGAATCTCTTGCTGTCTATCATCATAAATTAGATACCTTTTAGAAGCACTTTTGTCAGTTTTGAATGGTTTTAGTACTATTAATGTATACATCTATTAATCAGTATGTGTATTAAACTCCGATTTGTTAACTGGTCCACACCAATTTAGCACAAATGAGTACATCATACAAATGAAAAGATTTAAATTGTAATTAGATTAACAATAATTAACAATTGAAAATATTTTATAATGGTGTACTTATAAGTGTATTGGATTTTTTTATAAGTTTTAAAGTAACTGCTGTCTAACATTCCATCATAGAATCAAAATAATTTTAAATAATATATTTTCTGATTGTTTTTAAGAGTTACTTATTTAATTATTATTTTTCTGGGCATAGTCATCAAGTATCATCATTTCATAAACTGTGGTCTGCATTAGGTTAAATAAATTTAATTCAAAGTATATTCTAAATTGTTATAAGTGTTCATAAGTGTAAAGATTTTATGAGACAAAATGTATTAAAAGATTTTGTGATTGTATATTGCAAATTGAGCTCTATTGTCTTGAAAAGTACATTTATATTGATATGTTGGATTGAAAAGCTTAAAAATTATGTAAGTAGAGATATTAATAAAGATAAATATAGAAAAAATCTCATAAAGATATCGTAAAGACAATGTCTTATAAATATAAAATAAAATTAATGTATTGCTGCTTTCTCTGGATACATTGTATGATCCTATTTTGGGAAAAAATTCCGCAAACCCAGTATTTGGCATATCAAACAACTAAGTCGGAATGGGACTGAGGATAAAGACAATACCTTCTCACGCAAAATGTGTTATTTTTTTGATGTCGGGAGATGCCAGTCACTCGGAGTCTGATTGTGACGACATTGTCTACCTAAACCTGCTTATATCAGTTTTGCTATCCTTTTCAAATTGTTAACATTCACCACAGACCACACAATATTCTTTTGTTGCGTACATATTATTTTTGTTAAAGTTTTTCTTCAATTGCAAATATGCTTTTACTGTTCTTGTGACATTTGTTCATTACTTGTTTTTGGTGGGATTATAAATTATGCAATAAAAATTAAAATAAAACCATCTTGTTTTTTTTCTTACGTACCTAGTTGACCAAAGCGTTACAAGATATTATGTGTTCTATGTTTAGCTAAATCCCTATTTGTCTGTTTTAATACGTTTTCCGAAAGTTGTCGGACTTCGTATGACGTCATAGTGGGATTACGCTGTGTTATCGCATAAGTATGTCCAAACGCTTGCGTCATCCCTGTAGCAAGGGTTGCCAACTTTCCACCAAAGGAAAGAAAGGAATAATAAAACTGTCGCATTGCGAACCCTTGTAAACAGGAATTTGCATTGAAAACGTTTTATTGGTTTTCCTATAAAAACAGCAGTTTCATATTATTACTGGCATAACAAACCCTGATGAAATTATAATTCATTTGTGAATAAATATCTTTCTAATATTTGTTCTTGGTCTCAGGTTTTGCTTTATTAGGTACTGGTGCTGAAAAAACTTATCATCGCTGAAACAGTAGGTAGGTACTGACAGCCCTGACTATGCAAACATAACGTTTCATTACGTGTAGACTTATTGGGAAAATCTCAATATACTTATTACTTTTACTAACTTAGTATATTAGTTTACAGGAATCTTCCTACCGTATTTGGTATCTTTCGTACAACAATTTATATAGCAACCACATATTTCGTCTATTGTTTAGAATAAACTACATCGTACATTACGTAGCCCGCGTAGGAATAGAGTTTTTGTTATTCTTTTGGATACAAACACACGTTACGTAATTTGTTGCCAAAGATGTGAATGTAAGCATCTAGCTGAAATTAATCTAAAGATATCATTAGAGAAGAACAAGATACTCTCCTCTTCTATTTGAACGGAAAGCTCTCCATGGTCTCTGGCTGACATAAACGTTACCGCTGCATCGTCTATTTCGTGTCTCAGCATCCGGGAGGTTTATTTTTAGACACGGAGACTAAAGAATTCATTGAAATATTGGAAACGTTATGTACGACGAGAATATCCATATTGTTTGTGCGACCTGTGTTTTGATAATATGATGAATGATGTCTAACTTAGGCGCTGGGGATTAGGTACCTAGTAATGTTATCTACCTACTTAGGTACTAAAGAAACTTGTCGTTAACAGCCTTTAAATGTATTACCGTTGGACTAAGACCGCTTCTCTTGTGCTTAATCATCACGCTTGCTCCATGCGGATTGGCGTTGGCGACATCCAACTTATAATTTGAAATGACCTATGATTCTGGTGACGTTAAGTCATAAACATGTACCGTAGCATAATTCCTATTAAATCAATGTACAACAGTAATATTCAATCATGGGCAAGACAAGGTATATAACAATAGTAATTATTACAGAATCAGAACGATTCGAGCGACCTAGTGACCGTTACCTAATCGGTACCTTTTCATTTATTCAAACATCGATTATACGCACAATGAAACATTGTATGTTAGTAAATGCCTAATAAATATTTTAGCTCCTATTAGTACCTGATCTATTTTATAATTTTTATTACGTATTTTCGTAGTTTATTATACTTTATCAGACTTTAACGGAGTTTCTAGTCTTGTTTGGCAGTTGCGTTTATGCCTGCTACAAAATGGAGGTAGTTCAGCTGTACCTATCACTGCCTACTGCTAAAGACTCCGTGCTATACCTATCTTACTGAATTACAAAGTAGACTACATTATAATACTTTGCTCGAATAGGTGTTCCTCAGGGCACTAAAGAACAGACATGATTTTTTTTATTTGTAATGTAGTTACTACATTTGAAACTGCTAGGTTATTCTTAAAGATGTCAATTCAAATTCTCGAAGTGAGCTCGATCGCGGTAAGCCATGTCATTGGTTATGAGAATAACGTCTCGACCTATAACGGGCGAGAATGCGATCGAGTTCATTTGATATTTTACAGATTAGCTTCGCTCCTGTTATCTTTATATTTCTGAGTATCTAAAGATGGTGTTGACGGGATGTTAGAAGCGGGAAGTTTAATTGTATTGATCTCCTTCATTCTTTAAAGAACTTACATGCCTCAGCTTTCTACTATCATTAGTTTCAGTGGTGGGTGGTATGAATCACACACGTACATATATAACCTTCTTATTCCTACCACTGCTGATTCTCATAGATCGATTTTAGCCAGCCCACTCTATAATATTCTCATCAATCATCTAGTTCCAATAAAATAGAGATTAAGATCTCTCGGCCTCGTTTCAGGGAATATTTGTATAGTAAGTACGTTAGAATAATGCTTTATTGTACACCATTAAAGGGAATATAAAAATGCCACTAAAATTGAGGATAATGGCGGTCTTATCGGATCACCGATATTAAAGATCAGCTTTAATATGTAGATTAGGTTGGTCAGGTACTCTTCAGTGCGACTGCTGAGTATAGGGTTTAAGGTTCAGGTATTACGTTTGATAATGATTTACTATTTTAAGTAAATAAAGTCGAAAATTGGGCTTATTTATTGTATGGTACTTACCACCTTTAGATCCCTTAAGACTTTCAATATAAACTAGTGGAAACTTGGTGTTATTGTACAAGACTGTTTACCTCGTCTTTAATTAATTATGATACCAAAAATGCATGACATACCTAAAACACACAGAGCTTTACCTTCATAGTCTAAAAAATCAATAACAAAGAAAACTTTCCAAACATTGATTTGCGTGGGACATTATGAATGTTTAGGTACGCTAGGTTTTCCATAAAACCTTCGTGGAATCATAAAGAATTTATATCGATTGCTAATGCCCTTGACACTGGCAAACACTAAGGCTACGTGTGGGCTGCTGAGGGCAGGTCATTTAGACATGATGTTCTTATTTATAGAGTTTCCAAAGTCATTGGTGTCGTATGATTTGTGTATAACTTTAAAACTGCCAAATTTTTGTTTTAATGTGGTATTTTTGGTCTTTAGTCCTTTCCGAAGTATCTGCACAAAGTGCAATTTTAACTATAAAGTTTTAACGTTTGATATTTCTCCAAGGACTATGCAGAGGTATGTGTTAACTGCGCAGAAATTCCGGACATTCCAGATAATTTTTATTCAAACGCAAATTCTTGCAGTCGGCAGCACAGTTCCAAAATGAACTTACTTATTAGTATTCAGAGTTTCAGACCTTATTTTTAATAATATTCAGGATCAC